ATTAAAATTTAATTTATTCTCCAAATTACACTTTTTAGTAGGTAGTAAGACACTTTTTCGATTTTTCCACAGATCTACCGAAAGGCAATACTGCTTCTCAAGTAGACCATCCAGTTTAATACCATCCCTTAGATAACCTTCAGTGTGAGGAAAGTTATCTCATAACATTTTCGAGTTCGAACATGGAGTGGAAGGTAGCAAAGAACTAAGCTAAGATAGTTCTACCTTGGAAACATGTATTATATCGTTGGTAGTAGGTGCAAAAAAGTATGCCTAGTAGATTTTTCCGCAGATATAGGGAAAAAGTATCAAGCAACCAGTGGCTGTGGCGTCACAATCTCGACGCAGAATATAACTGAATGCAGTCAATTATTGATCAATAATTTCAAAGAATAAGAACAGAAGTAATTTTAGCATGTATTGTTAATCGGATTGCAATAGGACTAATATCATTACTGACAGATTATTTATCTGTCCCAAGTGATCTATTTAACTGGACGGTCTACTGGAGAAGCGGTGTTGCCGTTTGGTACCATTTTCTAGGTAATTAGGCGTACTTATAAAAATATATATATATATATATCATGCAGTGTTGCCAGATATAAATTTCCTCAGAACTGGAGAAAAAATTAAACATTATTTTTTAATCCTAAAATCACCCGTGACCATTTTAATATTTTTCTGATACCCCAATCAACAAATTGTCCCCAAATAGATTTTTTTTTAATACAAAAATCGATGCACATCCTCTATCATTTATGCAGTGTTGTCTAATCGAATAGTCGAGGAATGTAGGAAGTTTGAAAAATGAAGGTTATGTTAGTTGGAACAATTTTAAATGTATATAACTAATGCGAAATATTGAGTTTATTTGTGCATAATAAACATGAATTAAGAACATCTGTATATAAATATATATCAAATAGTTCTGGAAAATAAAACTAGGTATTACAAAGATCTCAGTATATTTTAGATGAATTAAACACCTTCTTCACTAAAATTGTTCCAGAATTAGCACACAAAATATCTCAGACTAATTTTATTCCACAAAGAAAGTCATTAATCAAAAAACTTGATTTTTATATTTTAAATACTTCATTTAAAGCAAAATTTTGACAATTAAATGATATGCATATTAGCTACCCAGTATTTTTCCATATCAATATTTTTATTTATAATTATGACTATTTCACTAGACCAAAATAAATATCAGCGACTATTTCTTTAGAGAAATAGTCAATATTTGATCTAGTGAAATAGTCGTCCCAAATATAACACGACCTTGATTAATATTCTGCTATTTTGTTGAATCGACAAAAGTTTGGCATTAATAATCAATTTTGATTAAAATTAATCAGATTATTAATGCCAACTTTATGTCTCATCAAATTGATATTAAAATATTCTCGAGATTTAGACGCAACAAAAATAGCTGACTATTATCACGGTATATGACCTAGTATTTCCTAGTACGCGTTTAGATCTATTTTAGACAGTCCAAATTAATGATGGAACCACGCCTTAAGGAAAGGAAACAGAGGAAATTGTTTTGAATTATTAAAATTCACCATTCCCAAGCACAGTAGACATAACATTGATTTAAATAGCAATAATAATTATTTACGTTCAAATTGGATTGAACTGTTGTTATAATACGTCAGGCGGTAGATCGAAAAAACAAATGTTTTTGTTAACATTTGGCCGAAGTGGTTTTTTTAACAATTTCAAGGACACAAATAAATATATCAAAAATGTGATTTCTTCAGAAATAGACTGGATAAAGTTTTTTGTTTTTTATAGTTCAACAGATAATGCATGTATTCTAACCTTTATGTCCTTGTTCATACTAACAAACTAAATAAATAATAACAGATTAACATAATTGTGAAAAATTGATGTAAAAATCATCACTATCATTATGTTATCCATCACAATTTTACGATCTAAATATTCAGGTTAGGAAAAAGTATACGAACTACAGTAGTCTACAATTAATACACCGTATGGTTTGAGGCAGGCTCCAGGCTTCACCTACTGTTAAATGGAAGTGTTTGGCGCTGAGAGTGGTGAAATTAAAATAAGGGATGCTTAGTCGCCAATTTTGCTGACGCAGTTTACTTTGCGACCTCGAAGTGTGCAAGAGTGCACCCAAAGTACACTCAGTGAAGTGAAAGAACTTCCAGGCGGTCAGTTACTAATGTGGTAATAACGGAAAGATCACTTAACTCCAAAAATAATAAGAATACCTACCTAAACCAACCTCGGCGTCAAGTTACCTTATGTCAATCATCCTTGAAAGTTAGGTAAAATTCAGGGTATATAAGATAAACAAAAGATATTCAACGACGTATTTTATTTATTTCGAACGGTTGTCAAAATTCTGTCGAACATAGATAAAATAAATATAAAACACTTAAATAAAAAAAAAACTCTTGAAACGGTGGTTCCTGGGAAGCTATTTAGCCAGTATAAATAGCTTCACGATGTATTGAATCAAAACACACAACAAAAAAATCAACAGTTAAATTAGTGGTTAAATAAGGTCAGTAATATTAATAATCAATCAGATATAAATGAAATAAATTACAAAATAAATGAATTTCTAATTGCGTTCCAAAATAACCTTTGGAAACTCGGATATCCCAACTCTAAATATTCGGAAATTTTTAATGAAATTTTGATTTTTTTCAAATTCTAATTAGTAGCAAATATTGGTTGGGATTTCAAATATTAACGCTCTACGGGTACGGTCGAGTTTTAGACAATTCCGGAACAGTGTTGTTTCCTGGACTTCGGCTTGAAGCGGAATAAAAAAATCGTTCTGAATCCGGACTAAATAAGGTTTTTTAGAAATTTAGACGGCAAGGCGGTCCTGTGAAACACTTGGTTGCCCCCCTACGGAACTTCAGAAAATTCCCTTGTGATTTTCAATACAAAAAGAAAAATATAATGAAAAAAATTGAATTATTACTCTATCTCCGGTTTTTTTTTTAGAAGTTTAGTCGGCAGGACGGTCCTGTGCAATATTTGGTAGCCCCTCTATGAAACTTGCAAAAAAATCCCATGCGGTTTCTCATACAAAAATAAAATGAAAATTAACCAATTTTCTCTATCTAAATAATTGTTTATTGGAGGTCGATGTCCAGGAAAATGAAATAAAGTTCTCGGTGCTTCAAAAAAAGTAAAAATAATGTTTGATTCCTACCTTGAGTAACAATTTTCGGTGTGTCGTCACGAAAAAAACAGAAAAATGATCGGTATCTCTACTAGTTGTAATTTGATACAAAAGAAGGGTAGCAGCAAAAGAAAACAAGTCCCCGAAGAAGCTGGTCTTTATATTTCACGTAGACAAAGTTTGGTTTGCCGAATGGGTCGGAGTGGGAGTCAATATTTACAAACCAGAGGACTGAAAAACGTCCTTTTTACATTTGCGAGACAATTTACATGAATTCGAACGTTTAAAGTTGGATTTAAATTTCAGTAAATAAGGAAATATTTTGAAAAATATCAGGTGGAAATTAATTTAATCTAAACTTTCATAATAAAATTATTGAAACATTTAGTGACTTCGACACAGGTTCGTATACTTTTTTTCTAAACCGATTTTTTTTGACAGCTATTACACATGCATATTAAAACAACTACTGAAACTATTGATCTATTTATTTTTAATTGGGTATATCACTATTTTTTGCGTAAGATCAATAGAATGCATTGCAAAAATACCCCTTTTAGTATGTAATTCGTTTATTCTAGAGAGTAATTACTAAATCACATTTTGGATCTGATATTTTTGACCTAGAAATTAATTTAAAATAGTATCGTTTGTTTTTTACGAAAAAAATATATGTATGTTCCGCCTGAACCGTAATTATTAAAACTAGCGAATAAGTAAATAACCACAATTTATGATAGTTACATAAGGTTTTTTTAAATTATTTTTTATAATATTTGTAGTAGCCGTACGTCAGTGTCATTGTAGATTTTAAGACTGTATTACCGATATTACACATGTTTATTTTTTATAAAAATTGTTTGTGTACAGGTTGTTTCAAAATTAATATTTGATAGGTAAATTTTTAGGCTGTAGGATAATTATACAAATATTTAAAACAAGGATAAAATGTGAAAAAACGGCTTCATAGCTATTGGAACATCCTGTATTTAGTTGCATTATTTTGGTAGTGTAGTAAGTTTTTGGCCAACCAGTTACCGCCTCATCACGAAAAAAAAATGATTATATTTTTTATATTTGTTAAAATCAAACGCTTCGCAAACATGGTAATTGAAGACTGCAGTAATCAATAGTTTTTATGTTAACGACGAGGTAGAGAAGTATTTTTAAATATCTAACTGGCTTCCACTGTTAGTAGTAAATTACTGGGTAAGTATTTTATAACGGAGTAAACAGCTTCTACATTTTTTGCTGTCTGTTGACAAAAATCGTAAACAGGGTGATTCAGTAATCACTAGTAAATATTAATTTGTGATACATCATTATAATCGGTGCTGTATAATTTAGTCGAGGCAATGAAGCACTAAAAAGGCCAAAAGTTCAGAATTTTTTAGACTACCAGAATGCGGTTTTTTGCATTGGCTTCCAAAAAGTATTATGAGCAAAAAATAAAATTTCTGTCTATCGGTATTCATCATAACTCTTAAAGGAACTGCGCTATAGATATGTGTTATTCCATTAGGGGTCAGATTGGAATATTTTTGAGTAACATTGGTAAAGGGGAAGGGGGTGAAATGGGGGAAATCAGTAAAAAATTGCAATTTTTCGTAAAAAGTCGAGTGATATGTCGTTTTATAGGTTTTTGGCTATGGACATTTTGATTTTATAATCCGTTTAATATTTTAACAGATAATTAGAAAAAAAGTAAAAAGGGGAGGGGTAAATATGTAAGATATTTAAAAAATCGAGTTGTCTCGTACTATTTTAATTTTAAAATTCGTTTAGGGTCGATTCCACCGTTGTGTTAAATGAAGTTTAAAATGACATCTTTACATTAACAACGTCATTTTAATCTCCGTTTAACACAACGGTGGAATCGGTCCTTACTGATTTAATTAAAAAAATACAATTACTTTAGAATCCATTGATCGCAAATTTGTTTGTCTCTTGGAAATCTAAAAAACGTGTTGTTGTTTGAACAACCCACCACTGCACAGTATACCATAGTAAATGTTTAAAACATTGTTTTTATATATAACATATAAAAAGCTTTACGCACGTTTACTTCTAAAACACAACAAACCAAAGAAACAAAATTAAAAAAATCTAATACACGCAAAAACGCTTTGCGCCGTATAGAACTGGCTGTTGCTGAGTCGGGTAATGTCTCCCAGTGACGTCAGGCGTGCGAGAGTGAGAGAGATGGGCTGATCGCATGCGCGCGTGGGTTTATCTTCTCGAGTAATAGTATCATGATCATGGTTTCTGTGTAACTTACACAAAGCATTTCGAGCGTTGGGAGAAAAGTGTAAGGCTGCTCGGCAAAGTTCGGAGATCTAACCGGAGATTATTCTCGTAATTTTCCTCGCTCTATTTTACAGGACTGGATCAACTTTTTCGAGGGCCCCAGGCGAGAGTTACACATCAATGAATGTGTGAAATTATGGGATTTTCGGTTAGTTTTTTGCGATCGTTTCTGGAAAACCCTCAGAGACGACGTTCAGCCCGAGGTTCCGGTACACCAGGTGTTGGGAGGGTCGTTTTCGACGTGACATTCGGATTCAGTGCCCCAAAAAAAACCCCCTTAAGAATTTGGGTTCGTTCTTCGATTGTGTGAGGAAACGTGAGAGACGACGTTCAGGGCCAGATTCCGCTGCACTAGGTGTTCGGGGGATCGTTTTCGACGTAAAATTTGGATTAAGCGCTCAAAAAACGCCTCTACAATGATTTTCGGGTTGTTTTTGGCGATCTTGTCATGAAAATTATCGGGGATGATGTCCACTCTCCGGTACACCAAGTGTCCGGGGGGTGTTCGACGATGCCATATTTGAATTTAGCGACCTAAGAAACCCCCGGGCGCGAATTTCTCTTCTTCCCCGCGTGAATTTCAGGAGAGTCCCACGGAGATGACGTTCATCGGCGTTTCTGAGCTCCAGGTCGGCTTTGTGTCAATTTGAACATCATAATCGTGATCAGCAACCTTTTTCAGCATTTTTTGAATGCATTTTTATCTGCAGCAATGCAATTTCCGGTTTGTATAAGATAAAAAGTAGACATTTTTTCCAAAAAATGTTTGGAAGCGAATGCAAAAAACCGCATTCCGATCCGTATTAGTCTAAAAAATTCCGAAGTTTTTTCCTTCAATGCTTCGACCAATTTTGCAGACGATACGGTTATTATTTATAATAGCCACACTCAACTTACCCCTTCAAGCTTTTTTTGCGGCCCGAAACACTATTATTAAAACTAAAGGTTTCTGTTTTTATAATCTTAAGCTAAATGCTCGAAAACATGTATTGGTCGCAGCGCTTAAATAGCCCGCTAATTTTTAAATAAACGTTTGGAATTTTGTGAGGTTACTGCAAAAACAAGATGCTCCACTTTTTGTACTTTTGCATTTTAAGTAACTTTCTACAAGTATGAACGAAGTCTATATTCATGATAAATAGATAAGCCAATAAAAACTAACTCCATCACAGCCTGGTAAAACCGTAATGTCAAAAGAAAAAGCTTCTAGACGAGGAAAATTAGCTTAAAAATTCGTAGAGCTGGATTTTTTTAAAATCACTTTAGACATCCCAAATATCTGTTACATGAGTTTTTGAACTGTGCTAAACTTTGAAGGGCCAAAAAAACAGGAAATTGTGCCACTTTTTTTTCAGTTTTTTGACTAAAATTTGAGTATGACGCATAGTACATAAAATTTCACGCCGATGAAAATTAAAGAGCATAAAATTTGGTTTCGAATGACGAATCTTAAAGCCAAAATCGAATTAGCCACAATCGATCGTCAGAAATCGGAAATTTTCATCAACATGCTTGAAAAGTGGGTTATGCTTCATATTTCAACGCCTGTATCTTGAAAACGGCTACTCCAAATAAATATTTCATGTGATAGAAGTTGTAGAGCATCAAATTCTTTCATTCTGATGAAGAGATACAAATAAAGAGCCGAAATTAGACGTAGTACTAAATGCCCAAAAAAAATTTGTTGTTTCTACATACCTTCAGTGATACATCAACATTTTTTCGAAAGGGCAAAATCAGGTTGATCAACATATTCAACAGGGATCCAAGTCTTCAAAACGTACCCTGTTTTCACAAATTGCATCGGCACTCCTGATCAGGTCGCTGACAAAGGAAAATAGTTCACTGTGACTTAGTACACGGGTGGTAGCAAGAAATCCTTAAATGAAGTTCGGTTGGAACTACTTCAGAGGGTCAAAGAACAACTTTAATTTGGCATGTTTGCCTCAAGGGTATAATTACAGGTGCAGGTATGATGTGGTAATGATCTAGACCCGCTGCGATTGTGATAGAAGACCACCAACAACGGCTTGATCCCCATTCCAACTGGCCAACTATCGGTGCCCCAGAAAGTTCTTAAACACCACATCCTGCACCTGTGTGAATGGGTGCCAAGCAGTTTGTTCCTGCAGAAAAGCTGGTCTCAATTACTCTGTCGTATGTGTGAACAATGGGCCCTCGTGCCATAATTATCTCACCCTCAACCCAATCCGACACTAAAATCGACATCATCGAAGAAGAGAACGACCTTGTCCTTATCAAATGATGATCATCTCGCCAAATCTCAGAATTGAAGTTTTTTGAGATGTCAACACTCTTATTACAAACGAATATGTACCTAAACGGCAACAGTGTGTTAGATGTTTAAAATATCTAACATGCCCCTAATTTTAATTCGATTTTAAGAAGAGATAACTAATCATCACTGTCCGCATTAGAAAAAGTATTTATAGTATGTGGAAAGAGGTATTTTTTCTATTCACTGGTTCGTTGCAGATTTACCTGACGATTCCTGAAATCTAAAAGTTCTCAGAGTATTGTAAAAGGCTTTATTTACAACCATATACGTAATGTTGTCATTACTAACGTCATTGAAGGTTGGGAAGTGTCACATTACACACCTCTACTTCCCGCCCTCATTTCATCTATTCTAGATGAGTATTTTTTATATTTAAAAAAAATAAGACATTTTTTTGACAAATTTTATAATACCTATTTAATGGCAAACAATAAAAAACAACTGGGGGTGGATTGACTCTATCATGACTTTGAGATCGGAAGGTCTCAGGATCGAATCCCACCGGTGTCAGGGATTTTTATTTAATTAAAAAAAATTAAATATTAATTCTAATGCATAGGTAGGATTCCCCACTCGACCATTCACTGTTGGGTTCTAATTAACAGTGCTGTTCCTAAAGTGGCGCTGGGAAACAGTAACAAAGCCTACACAGAACACGAGGCTAATGGCCGTAGTAGTCGACGCCGATGACACCAAATTAAAAAAAATAAATAAAAAACAACAATGAACTAAAATACAACAAACTACTTATTGATATTTATTATTCGCGATTTTAATATCCGGCTTTATCTGACATTTATTTATATTGGTGACAGTTGTTTACCCCGTAATCACAGTAACAATATATTGATTATTCTGAGAAAACGGCATGCTTGGTAATTTGTCGTTAAATGTAATATTTTAGGTATGTTCAGAACGAACAGAGATTTATTAACTTTGATCGAAATATGATGGTTGTAAATAAAATAGTATACAAACCTCGGTAGGAAGTTTCATTCCTGTCACGACAGGAAGCAATAATAGTAAAATTCGCAAATGCTTTATTGAGTTTTGTAGATTGTTGTATAATGTGCTTACTATATTTTTAAAAATTATCTTTGCACACTTCGTCAATCTCTTGACTCATGAAGAAATAAGTTAGTTGAAAGATAATAAAATGAATGTTAAAAAATGATTTTTTAGCTTCTAGTGGAGAAAACCGTTACGTATTTTGTCAAGTCACGCCCCGGCTGACGATGTAACTAACCTTCTGCTTGTAGTAAACACTTGCAAAAAAATTGGCAACAAAAAGTCGGAGTATTTAATTACCTACATCCAGTTGCTAGTTATAAACTGACCCGAAATTAAATATGATAAATTGAATGAGCGCTTCTTGTCGTCTGCAATTATACAGTACCGTACCTAGTTATTTTGTTACAGTTAAAATTGTTTTTAACAGTATTTTTATACTAAACACTCCCTGGGAGTTTGATATGAATCACCCTGTGCTTACGATTTTATTTCTTCTTTCAATAACCTCGTCCTATTAATTCCTGATTTAGATAAATCTTGCAAATGCTATATATACACAGTAAATGTTACAAATTTGTTTTTCATGTTTGAGAAGTGCATAAAATTAAAATAATAAAAGCCTGCCTTTTTTCGATTAGCCACTTGAAAAATTCGAGGTTGATCGAAAATTCATGTTGCGCATTAAGTGTTGATGCTTGTTAAAAAAATGTATTAAATAAAAATAAAACCATTACAAAAATAAATATATTTTTTATTTACAAACTAACGAGCACGAATCTGTCTTAGATCTCCATCAGGTACTTACTAGACTGCCTCCATTTAAAATTTGTAATGTTTGGCTTTTCATAAATTTTCTTCGATGAAAGTTTGCGCCTTCTCCATGCCGTCTTTTAGGAGAGGGTCCCAGTCTTGTACGTGAACCCGTTTGGCTTTCATATTGCATACTAAACTACCGTCTTGGCCTTTCGGGGGCGCTGCCCTGCTTTTGAACACCGCGGCTATTTCGTTCATCCATTTCTCAGCCGTGAAGCTGTCAGTCTTGACTTTCTACAACACGAAATACAGAAAAGCTAGTCCTATATCTATTAAACGTGAGGATGCCGCGACCAAGAACGCTTGAGCTTTCTGCCTAAATAGTCCCAAACAGGGCGAAACCGGTCTTAGAATGATAAGATCGTTGAATTCAAAATCAGAGTTGGTTGTGTGTAGATATTTGGTGGTACTGGCGCCCAACGTGGGGCGAAATACGAATTGAAGAGCATCACAAGGTGAACAATTAGGAGAATTGGTAAGGTCCCTTTTTATGTTGTATTTTTAACTACCAAATTCGACATATAGTGAAATGTTGTAAAAGTTGTTAGTTTTAATTTAGAATTTCATTTTTAAATAGTATTCTGTATGATTTTGATTAAAAAATATTGATTCGGGTGAAGGTGAAGAGGATAATCAGTTGAATTGTAGTGTAGAATAACAGAAGGTGAAAAAAGTATGACCAAATGAAAATTATGATAGAAATGACGATGAGATCAATAGAGGAGAGTAGGAATATTAGTGAAAATTCCACACCTGTAATTTTGAACCAATCAAAATACGTGTTTTTGACAGATCACCATGGCAACGGAGGTATTTTAGTGGAAATTTTTTTCTCGTGGGCTACCCAACAGCGAATTATACTGGAAATTTTTTGACGTTTACAATAACAGACCATTTTTGACAGACTGGTTTTTATTTGTTCACATAATAGGTTTAGTTTTGATACATTTTAGTTACAATGCTAAGGTGTTTTCTATATTCTTCGGCCACTTCTTTTCTTCTTAATGGCGAAAATGCAGGACTTTGGATGCTTTGAATTATGTGTCTATGTCTAATAAAATATATATAATATTTAGACACTAATTTATTCACCTTTTTCCCATTCAGCACTTTGAATTTTGCGTAGTTTAGGTGCAAATATTCGTGGACAATTCGGAACAAATTTTCGTTTTTCAAGTTGTAGCCACAATCCTATATTAATCTGAGTAAGTAAGTCATGGTGCATTGATTGATCATTACATCAGACAATTTCACGCATATTTTGCATAGCGTATGATTTTCAAATCGATTCATTTTTAAACAAATAGGTAATTTTGTTGGTTTTACTTGCTGTGCTATATTCTTTATCGCAACAAAACGCGAGTTATTTAATGTTTTGAACTGTCAAAATACAATGATCACAGCCTCCTACGATTGATGCTTGCTGACGCTGGTTATGAATTTCATACCATTTTAAAGCGCTCATAACGCATGTTAATAAAAACGCAGAAAAACAATTTTCTACCACTTGTAGTTATTCAAAACTTACGTAAAATTAAAGAATATACTATTTTCTATTTTCAAATGGTATTCCCATGCAACTACAATGAGTAGAAATAAGCAATTTGAAGGCCTAAATAATTGCAGCGAAACATTTTTTTACGTCGGGCCGCTTGACAACTTCAAAACTGAAATTATATTCGAGGTTAGGGTCTTACTTAGTTACCATGACAACTCAACAATCAAGGCGACAACACCTTTTATGTTTCACTGGTGACTTGGAGAAAATAATTTGCATTGTTGAGAAACGAAAAATAAATTTTAAAAATATTTAATTTTCAACCATAATTCGGCGTGGAATTTTCTTACCGAATACCACGCGAGGTCAAATTAATATCAGGAAATTTTTTCTATTATTACTAGTGAAAATATGATTAGAGCAATTAGTAAGTAAGGGAAAGTTAGGGAAAAAACAGTGACTAAATAAATAAAGAAAGTAAGGGAAAGTTAGGGAAAAAACAGTGACTAAATAAAGAAAGTAAGGAATTGAGTTGATGCAGAAAATAAATATGCTGAAAGGGGTCACAGTTAGGTGGTTGGAATGCAAAAGGATGCCAGAAAAGAACTTATCAATAGAATAGAGGAAGTTGAAAAGATACAGGATGATAAGAATAAGATGGTGTTAAACAAAGACGTTAATATTAGGTTAAGTAAAATAAAAGATCTAATAAAAGAAGTCGAGAAAGGAGAGTGATTTGAATGCAGGAACGAGTGAAAGAGATGGTAAGAAATGTAAATGTAATTACAGGGGGAAATTAAAATGGAGATATTTTACCCCAAGGTATTTATTAATATGCTGAAACATAGATTTAGGGAAATAGTCATGATAGAGGATTTAAAATAATATATTAGAGAAATATCTGGTGTTAATCTGTTTTTTTTAAGTAGGTAGGGCAGAGTTTAATTAATTTTTAAGAAATATTATTGGGTAAAATTTGCACAGGCTAGTGTTAGAAAAAAATTATATTCGAGAAAATAAAAAAAAAAAGAAAAAAGGTCCAAAGTCGACGGATGTGATGGATAAATGGAGGGGATTGGAACTTTGTTAGAACGTTTGAATACGACTGTTTACATAAGCTAACTTATAATCTTAAATAGTGATGTGGCTTTTTATGAAAATAATTTTTGGACTAATTCGACGAGCATGTCCGGAAAAGTAGTGAAAAGTCACAATGAAAAGTAGTCGACCAAAAACACTTCAAATCATTTGTAAAATAATTCCAACCTTTGGATTTTTTGGTCATTTTTATAAGACATGAAACGAAAATTCGAAAACACTGTTAATTGGGCATTCCAAACAAAATGGCTACCCGTTTGAAATGACAAGCCACTGACAGGAACATTATAGGTTAAAATATGGCAACACTGTAAGCCTGGTGGTTTGATAGGGTCAATGATATTGACAGTTATATAGATTGATCATTCATGGTTTTAAAATAAACATCAGCCTTGAAGTAAAAATGTAGACAATTATTTTTTTTTAAATATTCAAAGGCAGAAAATTGATTTTAAAACACATTTTTGCTAAACCGATTTAAATTAGCCAGGCAATATGCCCGCTCGCAAACGTCCCGCTTTGAGCAATCTATACAGTGAGCATCATAAGTCTTACCTCCCCTAACTAACTCGTTACTGGAGTCTTATTAGGAAAATCGCCGAGACAGGTCGATTTTTGTTTTCTACAATGTACATTTTTGTATGATTAGTTTACCCTTAATTTCATCCCTTACTGGAGGGGAACAACCCTTTCAAAAAATTTAAATGGCATGGGGTGGTGAGTGATAGCTCATTTGAAAGGGGGTTTTATTCTCTATTCAACCGTGCAAAAATTTTTAAATTTGCTTCATTACGTGTTGATTTATTAATGTTTAAAAATAACAAAACCTCACAAAATAGAAAAGCAACTAAACAAATAGTGACCTTCTAATGGCAAAAAGTCTTACTTCACGTCTGAACCAAAACCGAAATCATGCAGGGCCGAATTGTAATTCTAAGGATGAGTGCGCTACGTTAATTTTCGTTATTCTGAAACAACAATTAGTCGAGAATAAATGAAGCAAATTTCAAAATTTTTTACATGCTTGAATAGAGAATAAAACCCTTTCAAATGAGCTATCACTTACCACCCCATGCTATTTAAATTTTTCGAAAGGGTTGCTCCCCTCCAGTAAGGGATGAAATTAAGGGTAAACTATTCATACAAAAATGTACACTGTAAAAATCAAAAATCGACGTGTCTCGGCGATTTTCCTAACAAGACTCCAGTAACGAGTTAGATAGGGGGGGGGTAAGACTTATGGTGCTCACGGTATAACTATATAGATATAATTGACCCTGTTAATGACAACATGCCCACAGAGTTGCCATATCTAAACTGTCAGATCCCACTGGTAGCCATTTGGACAGGTCGTTAGAATGCCTAATACATATAAGTCAGAAATCATTTGTCGTTTCTTCTTTTTTAAACTATATTTTGCCTTTGATTGTAAGAAATTCTGACAAATTAGTTAATTCAATGTCGCGCATGTGCAATATACACTTTTTAACTTTTGGACTAGTCAACTTTTGAGACTAGCTCGTTGGACTTATCTCTGGACTCTTCCAAGCGACCCATCACTAATCTTAAATATAAAATAGAAGAGAACTTACTATTAATTTAAATTATATCGGGCTTTGTTTTAAGTTAATGCCAAACGTTAAATTCCTCATTTAAGCGCCATAAATTAATCAGTGACGTCATTGGTATCAGATTAAACATTGCTGAATTGAAAAAAAAAATGCATTTAGAGCGAAATGTGACAAATTTAAGCGCAGACGCGATATTATTGAAATAACATTTGAAATGTACTGTCGTGCGAGCCCTTTTCGACCAGTCCGGTTCTGCTCTAATCCCTTAAGTCCCTCTTTGCCTTATTTGGGCCTCTTATGGTCTCCACTTTCCCTATTACTAAGAATATTTGACAAAATAAGTCAGGAGATTAATATTGTCAATATAAATTAGTGAACAAGTAAATGTAATATATAAATTAGTATAGTATAAAGTATAAAACTATCAGGTTATAAATTAAATATATAAAATAAACATTATAGTACCTTGGGAACACAGCATCTAGCTTTGACTGTATTATCTACATAGGCAATGACTAAAATAGGGAAATCAGGGCATAGTCTTGTCGCCTTTTGTAAAGGAACGTTGTCCAACATCGTGGAGCTTCTCAAATAATGAACTAAATATTTTTGGTTCGATTTTGTCGTTCTTATATTTGAATCTAGCGCGCTTTGTATTTCCATTTCTATAAAATCTCTGAAATTAAATCTGTATAAGAAAACTATCAAACATATTATTTCAGCATGTCTTCACAGCAACATTAAGCGATTTAAACGAATGTAATTTGACAGCTGTCAATTATGACATATTTTAATTACCTTTGACAGCTGTCAGACTTCAAAAATTACGGTTTTTGTTCTCGTAAAGACATGCATATTTTTATAATTATTACTTTAACGATTCAGTCTCCACATTTTCAATTTTCTTTACTATCGAGTCTAATTCTTCTACGCATTTAAGCTTGGTGGTTAAAGGAAGAATATGCGTATCATCCGGATTATAATTTAATTTTTTTCTTAACGCAGTAACCATCATATTGAGAAGTTCACGCTAAAAAAGTTGAATAGTAGAATTACTTTAAAGTTACATAGGTATATTAGAAGTATAGAGTAATCCACAAAAATAATGTTTCTAAAGTAGATCTTGGAAAAATTCACGCGTTCGATTATTCTTCTTGAAGTGCAAGTTTGAATTTAATTTTTAATGAAGTCACCCCTCCCCTATCTCTCGCTACAATGAGACTAAGATTTTTAAACGTATGTAGTTTATTGTAAATGTACCAAAAATTACATATCCACTGTAAATGTGAACATTATAATATTTAACATATAATGAAAAACAAAGACTGTATGTACCGAGACTCGATTTCGCAATTACTTGCTTCAGTAGCAGACGCCTTATCCATTACACAACATGTGATTGATGTTTGTATTTCTATAGGAATAACGTATTTACGCAATTTTTTCCAAAGCCTGTTTTAGAAACGTTTTTGTGAACCACCCCTTATTAGTACAGTGCGTTAACCAATGTTTAAAGGATAACCACAATCCATAATAGATCTGACGTTCGACACACTCCAAAAGTTATAAAACTTTTCATACATGTCAGACACACATTATTTAAAAAGGAAATATTTACTTTATCGATATTATCATCTATTTGTTTCGTTAAAGATTCTACTTGTTCGATCATTTGTACGCCATTTTTTCTGGCTTGTTTGGCTCTGTCTCCGGTAACGCCTATTACAGACGTTGTGCTCCTTCCTAAAGATTTGACGTGCGTCAAACAAAAATCATTGATATCCGATGTGTTCAAGACGTGCGTTCCACAACAAGGCTCCCTAAAAGTTAATACCTTACATCTTTTTAAGGGTTAAAGATGCTTTTTTGCAAGGTGTTTCATAGGTAAATGTACAATATAGGGTTTATCAAAATTGTCGGGATACCAGATATCTGGGTCTACTAGACACGTAACAAAAATAAGTGTGTACAGGTTCATTTTGGTTTTTAGATGGGCATTTGCCCCACGTTGGGCGCCATTTAAGGTGTTTCATTTTAAAATTATTTTAGTGGTATATTATATAACAATATTTTTTGAGAAAAACATTATTAAGAACAAACCTTGAACATTTCTATTCCTTCTGCTAAGCCTTTATTTTTAGTCCGATTTTTGTAAAATTTTCAGGAAACGCTAATAATAATAAATATTAGAGTGGAGCTTCGAAAAGAGTATTTAAAATAAATTTTAAAAAACATATACGCTCCATTTTGTATTAAATATATGACAATTTGCTGCTTTTTGTTTAAATAAATATCTAATAGTTTTTAAATGGATTTCTCACCTTTTTCTTAAATGTGTCTGTAGAGTGCTACCTTATCGTTGCACAAATTTAAAGCTCTCAGTATTTCGAGAGGCACGCATTTAAATACAATTTTATATTAGAAAATCCTCAAAACATTATTGTTTTCGCAAGAGGTCCGGTTTGCTCTCAATAGTAATACGTATTGGTTCAATTAAAGCAAACAAATTAAAAAAGAGAAAGCAGCAATTTTAAGCAAATATTTACAAATTTGAATCATTTAAATATTCATTAATGTTGTAGTAGGCCTTTGACAATAGTAATTGTTTTACTATTTTTTTAAATAAATTTCAAGTCACGGTTTTATATTTGTCTGGGATGTGATTGAAAACTTGTATTCGTATTTCATTTTTCCCCAATACTCTTTATCAACATTTCTTTTTACATAAAACACCATGAACTGAAGAATAATGATCTATTAGCCTAGGATAACTGGAAATAGCTATTTTACCGATTAAGTTAAAAATAAATTCTTCAGAAAAAAAAAATAATTAATATCTCACTTTTTTTAATGCAATTTAATTTTTATATCACATTTACTTAGAACATTATTTTCCAGTTCACGGTGTTTTATGTAAAAAGAAATGTTGATAAAGAGTATTGGGGAAAAATGAAAATTTGGCAAGCTTCTCATATTATGTAATTTGACTAAAAATTAAACTTAATGACATTTCCGTTAAAACCGGAAGCCAGCTATTTTGGGTAAAAGTGTCAATTTTAAATCATGTTAAGTATGTTTATTCCAAAATTGTAAAAAAATGTATTTAGGAAAAATAACAATTTGGAAAGATTGTCATATGAAAAAACAAAATATACAGGGTAACTTGTTTTAAAAACTTAATGACATTTCCGGTAAAACCAGAAGAATATATTTGGATGAAGTATATTTTTTATTAATTTCTTTTTTAATATTTTATTTTTAACTACATTATACAACCTTTGGAGGATAAGTTCAGGTAAGGTTACTTTTTTATTACAATAAAAAGATATGTATATTTTTAAGATTTTGTGAATAAAGTTCGAGTGCTATAAATTACAATTATTCTTGTCCAATTGATTTTGTTACCTTGATGATGTCAAATTCCGATTTTTGTTTGTATCTTTTATTATGTGAAAAAATGTTTAATTCTGATTTATTTTTATGTTGCAACAATGGATCTTACGAAGAATAAATATAGGAATTTCTATATAAAGCTGGATAAGTACGTTTTTTTATTATACATTATTAAAAAATATTATTTCTCCCTATCCTAAGTGAGCTGTACATTTGTCTATGAAACACCCTGTCGAATCTTATCTAATTTAAACCTACCTCGAAACGAACCCACTGTTTTGCACCTCCACAATCCTAATTCCAGTTTCCGGATATATTTCTCCGGGGATTAACGTAACAGCATCGTATCTCAACAATTCCTGGCTATTAATTTCGCTTATTCTAACCGGTTCTCCTTTTCTAATAACGTCTAAAATATTATTTTCTATTTGAATCACATCTTTGTCCGACAGCTTATCGCCGAATATGGCGACGTCGAAATTCAGGTACTTATCGGTTACTTTGCTCGATTTTTGACACGTCGCCAATTTTAGTTTCTTCAGTACAGCGTTTAGGAGATGAACGCCGGTGTGATTTTGCATGCAATTTAGTCTGAAGTTGGGATCGACTATTAGAGTGCCCTCGCTGTTGCATTGCAATTTGTTGGTAGTAGATTTGTAAAAACCGTGATGCAGGACGTAGCCGTTCAAGTTTTCGAGGGAGGTTACTTCAAAAATGCCGTCGGGAAATTTTATCAATCCCTTATCACTAATTTGACCGCCTGTAAGAATTTATGTAGACGTATATTAAGGACAATAATTCAAATAGTAAGAGATTTGAACATGCGATTATTGCAGTCTTGCACTCATCTGTTTTTTAATCAACATACAATTTTTATACATAAATATTGATAGGAGAAATATGACCACAAGTGCTTTTAATTCAAATTTAATTATTTAAAAAAAAATTTGAACAGTTTCGTTTATCTGTTTAAAAGATAAAATTTCAAAGAGAGATATGTAAAGAACTTCGAGTAGTCGTTTCTCCCTTGACCGAAAACTCTTGCAACCAGGTTTTTAACGTTTCCTAATAAATTATATAACACATTAAAACTAATTTTTATATTATTTTTAAGTGTTCGCAAATATAGGTTAACTGTTAAAAATGTTTAAGAGCAAGTTAAAGTTATTGCACCACATCAGACAAGGACACAGTGTGCCAGCTATAAATTTTGTTTTAGTTGTAAAATTTGCGGAAAAACACCATAAATTCGATATTATCTTTGACTCTAAAACAACATGAAACTAGCATTATCACATAATACTTATATACAAACTTTATATTAAAATGTTACAAAACCCTGACAATATTAAAACATCGATAGATTAATTGGACAACCTAATTATTTTCAAAATTATTGCAGCGATGACAACTTTAACCAAGTTCTAAATAAAGCTACAGATGTAGCATCAAATTTAAAGTTGGAATGTACTTTTCCACCGATGCAAAATATTGGCGAAGGATTCGACCAAAACTTTTTGATTATGTTCTCAATTTGTCTGAAGATAATCTTTTGGCCCACTGTAAAACACTACAAATAAAATAGACCGACGAAGCCAAAAAAGAATCTGATATTGACGGCAAAGAATTATTTAATGAAATAGAAGCTCTAAAGGTACCATTTCGGTAGGCGCGACAGGAGACAACAGAGACAACGGCAAGGAGACAGGTGACACGACACCCGCAGACAACCATTCGAGGGAACGATCAGCGTTGCCAGACCTACTGTTTTTAAGTAGATCCACTTTTTTGTCTGTTCTCCTGTTTTAGGCATGAAATCTACTGTTTTCGCCAACTTAGCAAATTCGGTTACTAATTTATTAAGTTCTCATTCTTCAGCAAATAGTTAAAGAATATTTTGTCTAGTAAAAGCAGCATAATAAGCAGCCACTATTGTAGGTTTGTTTTTATTTAAAATGCAACAAAGAATTAATAGGGTAACATAAAAAGAACATGCATGCCAAACACAACGTATTTGAATTATCTGATTCAGACTGATCTAAAAGTAGTAGGTACTTATTATTTTTCATTATTTTTTTTTGTTTCCGTACGTTAAGTATATAATATGGCGGGTATACACGCTACGGTCTACCCGAGAGGTAGGTGTAACAATGCACTGGCATTAGTAGGGCTTGCGTTAATTTAAAAAATAATACACAAATAATGAAAAAGAAGCAAACAAAGTGATGTAAAAATTGGTTATTAAAAAGGAAAACTTAAGTCATGTTAACTTAATGAACAAGTTAATATTCGAACCTATAGATTTTAAGAACTATCTCCGATTGGACGAGAAAATATATCTAAAATTACTTGCAATGGTTACTTGCAACTAGTGTGATTTGCACAGACGACCTGAAGATATATATCCACAGGTTCACCGTACAGTGTCAATGAAAAGAATTGAGTTTCGATTTTGCTCCGGTCGCTTGTACAGGTTCAAAAAACTGCACAGGTCTATTCCAATACTCATTCCGGTCTACCTGTGCAGGCACACCTACACATACAGACCAAAATTAATAAAAATTAGTAAAACTTAATAAAAACTAATAAAAATTAATAAAAACTTATAGTAATTAAATAAAAACTTTTTCAGGTATCGCATGAAAATATTTTTCACGGGTAACAAAAACTGTTATTAACTTTTATTAATTGAGGTTTGAGAAATTCCAGCTAGTATAAGATATAATTTTTCAAATTTCTTTTGTTAATTTTTATGAAATTACTATGTTACTTTACTGAACTAAACTTGTTATAATGATAGAGCGTTTATTTTAATAAAAATTATATATAAGCTACTATTTAGTTACTAATTTTGTATAAAAATTATTTATCTATACTTGAGTATATTCAATTAATTTAGTGTTAATCAGGTAACTCACAAGTTTTTTGAGAACTAAAAAAGTTTGATTCTTTTCGTATCATTTCTTATACTACCTGTTACACATATTTATAGGTATTTTTCAATAACAAGTTTATAAACCAATTATTATTTAGCATAATATTGTTTTATCTACTTTTATTTTAAATAAAAAACATTAATCCAATTTGTTGTGAACATTTGTTTTTTTTTTAACTACTAAACCTAACTAGGCGGCGCGGCGTGAAAATAAGGAATGGCACGCAGCCCTGTAATTATGGCTCGATACCCGAAAACATTTTAAACTATAAATTTTATTTAACTTTTTGACATTAGCATTTATCACAAACATCTAATGAATGATTTAATTTAATACACACAACCAAACTAATATGGAATCACTGTGTATTTCTGAATAAACTTTTTGTAAGGAAAAAATTTGGTATCCAACTTTAAAATAAGACTTTTTGTTCAAAACAAACATGATAATAAAGAAGAAACGACTGCTGGTGAATTTTTTGTTCAGACGTAAAATCACGATCCTCCGGTAATTTTATTTCGGACCAAAAAACAACAAAATGCCTTATATTGGAGTAACAGAAGTGCGGAAGCTCTATAATAGGGCCAAGCACAGCGGAGATTGGCAGAGCTACACCGAGGCGCTTACTACCTACAACAAAGAAATCAGGAAAGCTAAACGTAACAGCTTTAGAAAATTCTGCGAGGATATTAACTCTACACCTGAGGCAGCGAGTCTGCACAGGGTCCTGGCAAAAGGGAGAGTTGATACAGTTATGGCATTAAAGAAACCAAATGGAAGCTTCACGGAGAGTGAGGAGGAAAGAGCTCGCCTCTTACTCGAAACTCACTTTCCTGGAAGCACACCTTTTCTAATAAGGGACACAACTAAGGTAAGCAGACCCCCCAAGAGAGGCCGCTGTAGTGGCCAAGCATATATGCAGCAGAAAACGGTTAAGGTGGGCCGTAAACACTTTTAAACCGTTTAAGTCTCCAGGTGTGGATGGAATATTTCCTGCCCTGCTTCAGCAGGCACAGGAGGAATTACTACCACACATAATCCGGCTATCCCGGAGCAGTCTGGAGCTGGGATATATTCCAGAAGCATGGAGAAGGGCCAGAGTCACCTTTATTCCAAAAGTAGGGAAAAAGGATACCACACATCCTAAATCTTTCCGTCCAATCAGCCTCACATCCTTTGTATTAAAACCAATGGAGAAGGCTGTTGATAACTATATCAGAACAGAAGTCCTGGAGAGGGTGCCACTCCACCACAGCCAACACGCGTACCGAGCAGGAAGATCTACAGAAACTGCCCTGGTACAGTTGACTGATGTAATCCAGGATGCACTGACAAACAAAGAAACGGCCGTGTGTGCCTTTCTAGACATAGAAGGAGCTTTTGACAACACGCCACACGAATCTGTAAAAAGAGCACTTGCATACAGAGGAGTAGATAACATCACATCCAGATGGATGGCTCAGCTGTTATCTTCGAGAACTGCAGAGACACAGATAGGGCAGGACACCATCTCCATCTGCACAACCAGAGGATGTCCACAAGGAGGAGTTCTATCCCCACTAATGTGGAGCCTAATCGTAGACGAACTTCTATGCAGATTGACTGACCTCGGCATACCCTGTCAAGGTTATGCCGACGACATAGTCATATTTGCTAGTGGCAAGTTTAGTAATATCCTGTGTAATATAGTCCAAAGAGGACTAGAACATACCAAAAGATGGTGCCGTGAAGTGGGACTTAGTATAAACCCTACAAAAACAACACTAGTAGCCTTTTCAAGGAAAAGAAAACTTAATCTCAAAACCGTTAAATTAGACGGGATAGATATAGAATGGAAAAATGAAGTCAAATATCTAGGCCTAACCCTGGACAACAAACTTCTCTGGAACACACATGAGAAGGAAGTAGTAAATAAGGCCACAAAAGCCCTAATGGTATGCAGAAACATGGCGGGTAAACGATGGGGATGTAACCCAAACATACTGCGATGGATGTATACTGCAATAGTGAGATCAATCATCACTTACGGGGCTATAGCCTGGAGTAACAGAACTAGTTTAGTTACTACGAGAGCCAATATCTCAAAAGTACAAAGACTAGCCTGTGTTTGCATTACTGGTGCAATGAGAACCTGTCCTACGGCCGCAATGGAGGTGATCTTAAACCTCACCCCTCTACATTTGATGATAGAGAATGTGGCAAAAAGGACACGATATAGAATGATCAGGAGCGGAGTAATCAGACGAAAGTCTACTTGCTTCAGGACTAAAGATACCTGGGACATGCCCCAGGATGAAATGCAAAAGAAGTACAGTTTTGTGAAAAACTTCAAAACCACATAGCTGGGCTGCAAGAAAGAATGGAGCCAAGAATCCATCGCGCTTGCAACCGAAAGACGTGCTATTCAGTGGTACACGGACGGTTCCAAAACCATAGAAGGAACTGGAATAGGAGTGTATGGGCCGAGAACCAAGCACTCCGAAAGCTTGGGAAAATACCCAAGCATCTTCCAGGCGGAAATTCACGCCATCGAGAAGTGTATCCAGTTTAACATCGAGAGAAACTATCATAGACAAGAGATTATCATCATGTCCGATAGTCAAGCAGCCATCAAAGCGCTGAGTTCTTACGTAATCAGCTCAAAAATGGTATGGAGATGCCTAGAACAATTGAATGAGCTAGGCGAGAAAAATAGAGTTACTCTCACTTGGGTCCCGGGACATAACGGGGTACAGGGTAACGAGATTGCAGATAGTCTTGCAAGGAAAGGGGCTCAAACACCCTTTGTAGGACCTGAGCCGTTCTGCGGTATCAGCAGTAACATAATATTAGAAGAGATTAAAAAAAAATTGGGTAGTAGAAGAACCGATAATTGGAACAATCTCTTGGGGCTGAGACAGGCCAAGATACTTCTGGGTGAATATAACCAAAAAAGATCGGAAGCCTGCATCTGCCTGAGCAAGAACAGGCTACGTATTGTAACAGGGATCCTTACCGGGCACTGCCGACTAAAAGGACACCTAAGTAAACTGAGAATAGTAGAGGATAGTGAGTGCAGATTCTGTGAGGAGGAGGACGAAACCTCCATTCACATCCTAACTGAATGTGTAGCACTCCAGAATCCAAGGGCACTATATCTAGGAGGATATCAAATAGAAGAGGGAGACTTACCTAACTTGAAGCCACTTCAAATCCTACACTTCCTTGAGAAAATAGGATTGGAAGAGTCGCTATAGGCATTGAGACATTTCCTTAGTGCAGTGGCGACAGAAGGGGGCACAATAGATCTTTTAGGTCGCAGTGTATTAACACCCCATTATCAACATAACATAACAGATGTGCAAAGTGGAAGAATTATTGCTCTCATTGAACAAGGAATGTTCCAATGAGACATAGCAGTGGTAGTCGGCGATACCCAAGGTGTTGTATCGAAAACTCTCGAGAACAGGCCCAGACAAATTCGTTAAAGAGTCACAACTGAACAACAGGATCGCCTTGTGTGCAAAATTGCTAGAAGAAATCCCAGTGTTTCTTATCCAGATCTACAACAATTTCTGGAAGCTACAGGTGTGAACTGTCCAGTTGAAACCCTAAGAAAAAGACTGCGCGCTCGAGGGTTGTACAGTAGGAGAGAGTTACGGACGCCACCGTTATCTATGTAAAATAAAATTGACCGACTAAATTGGTGCCTTCAACACCAAAACTGGACAATTGAGGATTGGCAAAATGTTCTTTTTTCGGATGAGACCAGAATTGGACTAAGATCAGATGACCATCGAATTCGGGTTCTCAGATCTCCAGGAAGATGAGCGAGATTCCACGCTGCCAGATCTGTCCCAAGATATCAAGGAGGAACTGTAATGTTCTGAGGAGATATTATGCTGGGAGCAAAAACTCCATTGTTACCAGTTCAACAAACTTTAACCAGTTGGAGGTATGTTGATTTTGTGCTAAACTCAATCGTTAAGCTTTGGAGAGCTGCAATTGGGGATAATTTTATCTTTATGAACGATAATGCACCTCCCCATACCAGCAAAGTGGCTAGAGAATGTCTTGAAACGAAAGGTGTCACAGTTTTAGACTGGCCTGAATGTTCACCAGACCTAAATCATAGGCGTCGAAACAATGCAAGAAATATCGCACAGTTTATTGATGCAGCATTAGCAGAATGGAAAACATACCCCAAGACAATGTTGACAATTGAATAAAAAGCATGCCAAGTCGAATAGAAGCTTGCATAAGGGCTAGAAGTATTTAACTGTAACACTTTAATTTGAACACCCGGTATAACAAAGCCAATTTTTATTCAGTTCTAACCTTTATAGTTACAAAAATAAGTAATTCAGGTAAAATTCAAAAATATATTACATGTTTTTTTTAATTGGGTAAATTGTTAATCAAAACGCTGCTCTTATTGTAATAGTTCTAAGCATAATAAATTTAATTACGAGTCTATCTAGACTAAAGTACCTTTAACTTAACTTTGATAATAATCTAAATACTACGATTTTGTGGATACCCAGCCAGCACATTGCACTGGTGAGCGTAAGAGTTGATGGTTACTTTTCACCCTAGAGTTCTTGGGAAGACTTTAAGAGCTTGCAAGCATTCAAATCTAATTATTCTTGCAAGTTCTGTAGTTCTTGTAAGCCCTTTAAAGAGCTTGCATGCCTTTTAAGTGCTTGCAAACATCAGTGGCGTAGCCACGGGGGGTTTTGGGGTCAGACCCCTCCCCATGGAGGCTCCTTGCGTTAGCATTTCCGCTATAGTATTGGTGTTGATCGCTATTGACAGTTTGTTTTTATTTACTCTCTTGATGGAACCCCTCCATAGTTCTCTAAACCCTCTCCTATTAAAAATGGCGCCACTGCCAAGCATTAGTGTTTAAAGAACTTCAATTGCCAATTACCGAGCACAGTATTTTAAAGTGGTTCGAAACACTATTGTGGAGGAAATTATTTTGATAGGCAATGAAGCAAAACCGTATTTCTCTATCAATAATTATCTATGTATAAAAATTGTATTTTGATTCAAAACAGATTTGTGCTGTAATCTCACGGCCGAATCTCGTACTATTAGGAAACGTAAATATTACTAGTTTACCTGCTTCCGAATACAAGTTGGTTTTATCCAAAACCAAGCTGCAATAATGATCACTTTCCACTTCCTCCAAACTTTCATTATTCCTAAATATTTTTAAAACCTTAGCAGTAACATTATCGAATACGTATTGACCATCTGTATTCCTAACATAAGCGTATTTAAACTGATCATCCGTTATTGAAACGCCATCTTTGAGTAAAGTAGAATAAATTTCGTTTTCAGATTTAACGCTGCCTTTCTTAGATTTTAATTTGGCGTTTTTTAATTCGTTAGTGAGATCGTCGGCGTTAAATTTCAAATTTAGAGCTTCGGCAAGTTTAGCGATGCTGTCTTCGTCTAAACCGTGCGTATCGTAGAGTCTGAACGCTAATTGCTGGTCTATTTTATCAGGCGGATTCGAACTGATTTCTTTGTAAGCTTTAATGAAATTGGGCGTTTCTGTTATATCGAGTTCTAATAATTTCGGATTGGTTTTTACCAGTTTGTCCCAATCTTTTGAGGCAGATTGCCGCAGCGATTTGAAAATGTCTTCTTCGTAATCGATTATTTGGTGTATCTAAAAAGTTTGTTTTTATAAATGCGTTGGTATTGTGTGTAATTGAAATATATCGACATATTACTCTTTAAAAACTTGACTCCGCTACCTAGGCTTGTCCTTGGTCTATGATAAATGATTTGAGGAGCGTTCATACAAAACCAGACATGTCTACCTTTTACATAAAATACGAATTAAATAGATTTTTAGTATTTTTTAAGGATTTTATCGATTTCGTATGAAGAATCGTTCAAAAGCAGACAAAATCCATTTTAAATTTGCATGTAAATATCGATAGTTCAGTCAAAATCAGACATATCCATATTTAAAATTACTTTTAGAGAACCGGTCTAAACAAGACATATCCATACCAAATAAACCTTGATTTTGTTCTAAAAGAATTTTGAAAAAAACATTCCATTATTCATAACACTGAAGAATATCAAGAATATTACGGGAAGCATATTTCCCACATCCCCAACTAGCCATTCATAAAAGTGTATTTGTTGTGAAGTTCTCATCATCATCTATTGTATAGTCCAGGAGACAGTGACGATTTTCGGTATTTATTTTCCCAGTCAGCAAGCACGAATAGAGAATTGTAGGATTAGCAATTCTAAGCAAAATTCATATATATTTAGAGGGGAGATCCGATGGGCTGAGACCGAAAAATGCGTCAAAACATACGAGAACACGGCCCTTTTTTTCCATTGATAAAAATAGTTTTAGTAGTAAGAGATGTACTGAAGTTAAGTAAAAAAATAGTCTGATTAATCTGTATGGATAATATATTTGGCAAGTGCATAAAATACACTTTCAAACGAGTTATGTACACAATTATTTCTACGACCACAATTATTTAAAGAATGTTCCAGGTGTTTTGTATGTTAAAGTGTATGCATAGGACACATAAATAAAATCATATATCACAATGTTTCACCTAACCAGTTGGTTTATTTATAGAAATTAAACATAATAATTGAAGATATTACAGAAGAAAATAGGGAAATAAATTACATTTCCTTTTACACTTTTATATAATAATTGTTTTATTTAGAATTCACGAAACACTTATTACTCTACATTAATTATAATTATTGTCAGTTTCGTTATGTCAAATCATTTATACTAGAGGTGTGAGGAAAATACAGTGAACTGTGGAACGCCAATATCGTTGGATGCGCGTGGTAGAAATGGTCCTATAATACTGCTAAAACCATAGCTAAATTTTCATGGAAACACTGTACTTTTGACATTTGCGATACTCCGACGCATATGCATTATTGATGTAATCTCATGATTTTACAGTAATAGTTTTTGCAATTTTAGGTTATTATGGTTATTCATTTTATTTGGTTCTGATCTTTTGCGCTTTTAGAGTATTTGTCTTTTATATAGTTTTTAATTTGAATTTTAATATTGTGGTCTATTTATATTTGATTGCTGCTTTTCGACTAGTGCTCTATTCTTTTTGTGTTAAAATAAGCTTTATAACCATTAAGTACTAGTTGATATCTACCTAATCGTCATCGGGTGCTTGCAACAATGGGAAAAAGTGTATGGTTTTTTTGGTGTAAAGTTAGACGCCTTCATTTTTCAGGTAAGTTATTTGTAGTTATATTTTACTTAAAAGGATAGCAATACGTCCTGGTTCGGGGTGTGACTTTTGGGTTTTAGCTATCTGAGCCAAATTGTCGGCTAAGTGTCCTCTTTTAGGGCACCCAGAACCGAAAACTATATAGGTATATAATGTTTTTTTTTTTAAATTATTTTTTAATATGTATGCAGCTTGGATGAGGGATTTAGGAAGAGATCCTAAGACTGAAACACTGACTGCTATAAATGCCGTTTTTAGAGCACATTTCATAGTAAGTGATTTCATTCTAGCAGGAATGAGGAAACGTTTAAAAAACATGCTGTACCAGCTATTACTTTAAGACCTCGTCTCTTAAAGTTATTATTACTTCATTCTAATGCATATATTAAAATGGTTTTTAACTTGTGCCCTTATGATTAAAATATGTAGGTATTTTAGTTATGTTATAATAGAAATATATGATAGATTGTATTGACTGACCTACTGGCCACTGGTCATTCCACTTTTACTCCCTTTTTTCATAAATTATCAAATTATTTAAAAACAAATACATACCTAGCTATTTTCTGTAAATTACATTAAAAATGTAAAAAACGTATTTCTCATCTATTAAATTGTTGTTAACGATAAAGAATACTTTTAATTTATTAAAACAAAAATAAAACCTGACTCGATAACTTAAATCAGTGAAAATAAGTTGCTTGAGATGAGGTCGTTTTTATGGAAAATTTTAGTGTTAATACTATACTAATAAAACTTCAGTTAATTTATCTTATATATATATATATATATATATATATATATATATATATATATATATACACACAACGGAAGAGTTAATTGGATTTTCTCCTTGTTGAGTTTCAAAAATAGTAATTTAATATGGTTTAAAAACAAATACATGAAATGGGCAAAATAGGCCTGCAAAGGCACTTTGTAAACAATCTCACCTGTATCGATGTAATGTAATGCGCGAATTCAATCTGGCTTACTTTTGTTAATAGATTGGCGTTCCATTTTAAATATACAGTTCACTGGGAATAGATTATTTAAATATACACGGACCGGGAAAACAAGTACGAAAAAAATTCACTGGCTCCTGGACTAATACTGTATCGAAGGAATTTTATGAATGAAACAACATACGACCCTCCACAATTGCGGTTTACTCTAGTTCCGCTGTTGTCAGACGTTATTTTTTTTTTTTGACAATTTAAAGACCTAACAGTATTTCAAGCAAACGCAATAACATTACTACAGTTAAAAACATCGCAAACTTGGCATCAATATTTTAATTTTATCCAAATATTGCATTTCTGTCGAGGATCATCCGCGTTGACTTCAGAAATTGTGTAATCTGTCTTGGTTGTATATATATATATCTATAGTTAAAAGCACGTAAACTTGGCATCAATGTTCAATCCGATTCTACCACGGACACCACCGTTCATTCTTTAAAATTTTTGTAAATAATCCTATCTGTCTTGGTTATATATCTATGATATTTCCATTCCCTATACCGTGAACGCAATAGATTGCGATGACAGGCTAAGAAATGGTGATGCATCTAAAACCCTCCATTCCAAGGTTGCCAGGTCCAAAAATGAAAAATCACTAAAAATATGTCCAAAAAATCACTAGATCGAATGAAAAATCACTAGTTTTTTTTATATTTATGTACCTTATATTAACGTAGTAATATGCAAAAAGTATCTATCAAATAGAAAAGATCGGATGCTTTGCTAAGTCTGAAGTATCCGATAGGTGCTTTGTTTTTCCTGCATACTTGTATTTATGTCATTTTAGTAAACTTGGCTTGCGTGAAAATATGGACAATAAAACATCTTAAATTTTTGTTACGAATTTTCCATATCTGTTATCCCCAGGAGCCAATCGTAAATTTCCTTTCATTCTACTCAAAATCGAATACCTTTTCAACCCTCTTCCAGACTTGTATGCGAAAATGGGGCACCTAAATCTGTCGATACGTTCCAACGAAATTGATATATTTAAACAACATTGGAAAGCAATATGTTAACATAACAGTCAGTAATTTCAAGATAGTCACAATGAACGCAGCATATTAAGCATAGTTGAAACAGCTATACGGATTGTCACATTATTACCCCTGTTACCAATTCAATTTAAAAAAAAAATACTAGAATAGGGTATTTAACGAAAGTTTTCACTAAATCACTAGATTGGTTCAAAATCCACTAGATTTAGTGAAACATTAGACTTGTCAATCTTGCTCCATTCCCTACACCGTAAACGCAATGCTATAAGGACGAAGCAACGCCATCTCGTAGGGTGGCAGCTTTGCCGCCACCAGAAAATATCAACCCATATCTGGCTACGCCGACCGGCATAGACTCCAACGGCTCAAATTAAAATGAAATGTCTCACATAACAGAAATGTCTGTGTGATTACCATATATTTACTTCAGGAGCCAAATTCACCTGCCGGCCAGGGACGCTAATCAATTTTTAAGTCTATTATCGCAAACGGTTGCGTTCACCGTATAGGGTTTGGAAATAAGCTTACGGGAAAGTTGGTCAGGTTCGTATCCTAATATTTCTACAAAAAACATTTTTTCTGATAACTTTCCAAGTCAGAGAGGGGGATGTACCAGAAGAACCAAAAGAATGCGACCGCATTGAAGAAGATCATGCTTTACATATCTAAATTAAAAAAAAATAGTTTTTTTGGATTATAAGTTTTTCTTATTTTAATTTTTGTAAGACCATATTCTTAGAGTTGCTAACAGCCTCTTTGTGTAATTTTTGTGTAATAAAATAATGTCTGCAAAATCTTTTGAGGGAAGTTTTTCTTGACAAATATTGGTTGTTAACAATAAAAGCATATTTTTTAATAAAATTGCTGAATAAGACAAAAAATCATTGCCGTAAAAAAGCAGACATATCCAACTTGCGTTCAGACAAAATCAGACATGTCCATTAATTTTTTTTTAAGTTTGCCCGTTAATAAACTATATTTTTTTAAAATGAATATGTACAATACATTAATATTCGATGCTCTATATATTTCATAATAATTTTGAAAAATTTTAATTTCAAGACTCTAAGCGCAAACAATTTTTCGTGTTTTTCTCCAAATAAGGTTATGAGGACGTGTCTGGTTTTGTATAAAGGCTGCTCATTTATTCAGTCAATATTAGCATATAAACACATAAGCGTATCAATTTTAATGACATTTAACCGTCCATTAAACAGTGGCGGCTTGTCCTAAGGGGCCAAACGGGCCATCTGATCGAGTGGCTCGGAAATTGACGGTTGGCGTTGTGCGTAACTTTAAAAAGACTAAACTTGCGATATGGCCACGAACACTTGCAACATTTGTATGAATCACAGCTAAAGAATCGCAAACAAAAACAAGACAAGACCCTTCAAGAATATGAAGTAGATATTGCCAGGTTGGTGCGATTTGCTTACCCATCAGCTCCAGAAAATATGATTGAATGTTTAAACATTTGTTGATGGACTCCGTGACCATGAAATGCAGAAAACATTCCTTCTACCCTATCACAAAATATTAGTAGATGTCCTTTTCTCTGCTCTAGAGTATGAGGCAGCTACGCAGGCTTCTGGTGGATACAGTAAAGTAAGGACTTTAAAATAAGAAGAAGTGGAAGATAGACTCGACCAACTGGTTAACATAATGAAGAGCTTTACTGAAAAGAAGATGTTGGCCGGGATTTTTTCATTTAATTTAGTTATTTAAAACTAATTCTGATGCCTTGGTAGGACTCCCCACTCGACCATTCACTGTTGGGTTCTAATTAACAGTGCTGTTCCTAAAGTGGCGCTGGGAAACAGTAACCACGCCTACACAGAACACAAGGCGAAATAACCCTGGTAGTTGAAGCCGATGACACACACAAAAAAAAAATAGAAAGACCATCAGATGCTGGAAATGCGGGGTGAACTGGGACATGTACGCAGTTCATGCAAACAGCCTAGGGTCACAATAAATCAAGAAAACACGCCGCAGTAAATCTACAGCTTGTCGGCCTAAAGGGAACAGCTTCGACCTGAAACCGTTCCAAAGACCCTCTCATATTAATAGCTTCTTTGAAACGTCTCGATGATAGTGTATACGTAGACGGCGAAGTAAATAGTAAAAAGTATTATACTTTTGGTGGATACTGGAGCACCTAGGACCATTATCGACCAACAACCATAAATAACCGTAAGACTTTTACTATCAAGGTTACGACTGTGGACTGCCACAGGTGAAAGTGCCAACATCCACGGGGAAGTCCAGGTTCAATTAGAAATTGGTACAGAAGTTCATTCCACTCTTTTGTCGCTGATATCGAAGATGTTATACTAGGAATGGATGTAATGAACTTACATAGTTTCCAGTTGGATTTTAAGAACAGAGTCAAAGTTGGTATCGAAGAGGTATTCCTACATCCATATGGAGACAATACCGTGCCAATATTTGTACAGAAAGAAACGGTGATATCTGGAAGAAGTGAAACTATTATAGTAGCACAGCTCAAGAAACTATGGAAGAAGGAACACTTGCCATGATGGAACCTTGGACCACGATGAAGAGGTTGGACGAAAAATTCTGATCGGAAAGTGGTTAGTAACGACTGTTAAATAAATTCTAGTACGTCTTATAAACGTTAATGATCACCCAATGACCATCAAGAAAGAAACCAGAATCGGAACCTGTGTACCAGTAACTTCCATAATTCGTCAGACAACAACGTCTGAGAATTCCAACGACAAATTCAAATAAATGACTGCAGTTGGTAGTCAATCTCCGAGTCAATTAGAAAAAAAAAGGAAAATAAGGGAATTTCTTCGACGATATCGTGACATTTTTGTACCAAAAGGAGGAAAAAGAAGAAGAAATTCTGTTGTAAAACATAAAATTGATACTGGTGAAGCTAGAATTATTCAATCAGTACGAATATTACCAAAGACCAATAAAAAGGAAGCTGAAAGGATTGTTCGAGAAATGGAGGAAAACAGGGTGATATAACCTTCTTCCAGCCCATGGATCTCCAGGGCCGACGTGCCTAATTCCCGGGGTCCGTCAGCTTTAGGTGACTTATTTCTTTAGAAGAGCACACCTTTTTTTTTGAGAGTTCACTTTTCACTAAAGAGGAGGAGGAGATGTTTTTTTTTTAGAAATGTGATATTGAAAGGACTTAATTTTGTTATAAAATTGTCGCGGGGCCCTGACCTGGAAAATTGTCCCGGGGCCCGATATGGCTCTCGGCGGTTCTATGGGTTTCTGGTATTTCTGGTCCAAAAAAGGATGGAACTACGAGGTTCTGCGTGGACTACCGTCAGTTGAACAATGTTACCAAGAAATACAATCCTCTGCCTCGAATCGACGATACCTTCGACACATTGGCTGGAAGTACACTATTTTCTACTTGAAGACTCGAAGTCTGGATACTGGCACGTGAAAAAAGAGCCAGTAGACAAAAAAAAAACAGCTTTTGCCACTGGTTCTGGAGTGTGGCAATTCAATGTCATGCCACTTGGACTATGTAATGCCTCCGCGACATTTGAAATACTTATGGAAAATGTATTGAGAGGATTATCCTAGAAAACGTGCCTGGTGTATTTAGACGACATCATAGTCTTGGGGAAGACATTTAATGACCATCTAAAGAACTTAGAAGATGTTTTTAAAAGACTTCAAGCTGCCCAACTGATGCTAAGCTATTTTAAAATAAACGTTACAGTAATTAAAAAATAACTAGATTAGCGGATGTGATCAAAAAAAATTTTTTTCTGTGACGGAAAAAAGTTTGACATTTTTTCTCTCTTGTCACTTTTTGTGTATTATACACGGGAAAAATATTAGATTTTAGCTAATGCTTTTTTCCCTTGTATAATAAATAACTATTTGTCGTTTTGCGTGTTTTGTTTGTGGGCGATCAAAATTTGGGCATTTTGCCTCCAGCGGAGCACCAGTGGTGAGCATAATACACTGGCCTGGTACCACCTGAATGTTAAGTCACAAGCCGCCACTGCAACATATCGTACTACGACTATGCGTGCACAACTCTCAAATATCCTGACACGGTTCGCTTTGCTCTTAATAGATAATCATTCTTATGACATTTGTATTTTGATAATAGGTATATATTTACCTTGTCAAAATATTTTTTTTTATTCAAAAATGTTCGAAATTAACAAGGTTAAATATGTCGATGTATTTAAATTATTTTTTGTTTTTTTTTTATTTTGTATATTATTACCTGAGATATATTTTTTTCTAATTCCGGATAAGCTATGCCTAAATTATCGACGACATAATTTGTTAGTTCTTTTACTAAACCTTTTGGCCTTTTGAACATATTTTCACTCAAGAGAAAGGTTTTTCGCAATATTTTACGAAGTTTTTGGCTGAAAAAGAAAATTTTTATACAAGGTGTTTTTTATGCAATTGCTATATTGAAACCAGAATAGAAAATAGTTTATACTTTTTTAAAACGAGTAAATTGTAGGTGTTTATATTTAATATTTCTAAAGCCACAAAGTTTAAATAAAAATATTATTTATAAAAATATAAATATAAGGATTTTTTTATTTCCAATTTAAAACCCTCATTCATTAATATTTTTTTTTATCTTAGCGTATCTCAAAAACGAAAAATGTTATCTAAAATATTCGTACAACCCACAAATTAACTGTCAGATGTCAACGAGTGTCAGAGGTGGCACTGACAAACTTGGCAACAGTGTTTGACTAAACCAATTAGAACTTGAGTTTTCCTACTTCGAGAAGATAAGAAGTTGAACATACAATGTAGCAGACATGGCAGATGATAAGTATTTGTTTTGAGATTACAACATGAACATTTTACTACGAAACACAATAACTTTGAATTAATTAAATATCTCGGCAGAGCTGCAGACATACGATTTGCAGAGTTAAAAAAATGAATACGGAGATATCTCAAAATTTCGAAATACAATCTCTCTAAAAAAAGTGTAAAAATAAACAATAATTTTTTTCTAGTGAAAAGTTCGTTACATCTTGTATTCTCTCATATTCAAAAACGGGGGCACGTATTTAAAAAAAGTAGGTATTGTGACCCTGAGATGACCTGTCATGTAGTAAATTTAACATATCCTATACCATTTTTTAAAATAAATGTGCTGCAAAAAATAATATAAATTTTTGTTTTACCCTATATACGTTAAAAGAAACAAATATTACAGATTTGTCATTTTGTTGACCCCATAAATACGCAACCCTTTTAGCACTTTAATAATCCCTATATCTTTAACTGTTTACAATACAGCAATTGTTAAGTTTTGAATTGTTAAAATATTATAGTTGCAACTATAGCATTAGAATATTGTTTTAAAGGTATTTAGAAAACTCAGATTGATTTATTATTCTAAAAAATTAAAAAGATCCGGCTCGAAGGACCAGGTTAAGTTGGTTTTACAACCGAATTATATTTTTAATCTTTTCTAAATTCCTTTAGCAATGTTAGATCACGATAAAAAACATCCTATACAGCGAAACAAAATAATGCACTTACTTTTCTTCTGGAATAACCCCATCCCCTAAAGAAACCGTTATCATTCTAACGTGATCCGCCATAGTTCTATAAGACCTATCCATATCGTTCCAATCTTTCTCTCCAAATAAACCTTCGTATCGAGGGATTCCCCTACAATTCTAAGATTGAAATATTTTATTTTAATTGTATATAAACTCGAAGAACAACAAAACGGCAGTACCTTGTATATCGCCTTTAGCAAGTACCTGAAGTTATCGGTATCATAATTACTGACTTTTTCTTGCAAGACTGCCGTAAGCCTTTCAAGACCCATACCGGTGTCGACGTGTTTTTGTGGCAACTTTATGATACTTCCGTCGGGTAACCTGAAGAATACATGTTTTAATGTAAAGAAAAATACAAATTAACCTTACGTTTAAATATAAATAAATATAATTGAGCATCTCATCTTTATTCTGCTAGATGAGATGGTTAAAATATTGTATATCGCGATTAATGATCGCTGTACATTTTTAACTTAATTTAGGAAACAGGGTTGGCTTTCCGATTTTAGCTGAATATGTTGGATGTATTTCCAACTATTAATTCAGAATTAGTTCAGGATTCTTACCGCGAACGAGCTATTATATTTCGGTATAAGCGGTTCAACTATGGCGAATGTGTAAAGTTACTATTAATTCAGAATCAGTTCAGGATTCTTACCACGAATGAAGTTGTATGTCTATTAGAGTTGAATGATATTTTACGAACTGTTATTTAATTATTTTAATCTTGCTAAACTGAAATTCTTTAAATGTTTTTCTATTTTATATGTTTTCCAGAAAAATATTAGAGAATATTTAATTTGTTAATGATTTGTTTAAATTTTACTAATTACAGTACCTAACGAATCAATAGTCACACTTTTTCTCTGAAATGACATTTCTATCTCTAAGGATAGGAGAATATTTAAAGATATGCGAATATAATGTTATTAAACTAAAAATAGAAAATAGTGCAGTAAGGGTAAGGATAAAGTAGATCATTCCATAGACATATTTAATTATAATACTACATATCTTTATTTAAACACCCTTTCTAAAGCATTTTAAAAAATCCTCTACCAAAAAAAGCCATGACACAACACATTTCGCATTTATAAATACTGTAGCTTGTTTTCGGAACTATGGGAAACGGGATAACAATAATACAGGTTTCAATAGTAAGGAAGACCCATTATTTCCTTAGATCTGGGGAAAACTGATGAAGATTAGTGGATATGGCAACGTCGCTTTGTATAAGTAAGTACTAAGTGCCGAATAGCCACATTGTAACACCATCTCTGTCTGTTTGTCTCAGTGTTGCCAGCATATTACAATTGTAATACATTCATCTGAGTTCAATAACAAATTTAACAGCTTTTATTCGACTTTTTTGTACCATTTCAACAACGCTTTTACATTTAAAAAAGTTAAACCTAAACGACACAAAAATAATTTTTATAACGCGAAACTAAGTGCACTGCATGAGATACTGTGTGAATTACATAGTATATACATAACTAGTAATAGTGATACTATTAGAGATAGATATAAAAAACTCAAAATAATTTATGATAATAAAGTCAAATCAGCAAAACTTTCCTATAATAATAAAAGGGTAATTAATGCAAAAGAAAATCAACAAAAGAATGTTGGAGAATTGTAAATGAGGCAAAACGAAAATCAGTAAAAAAATTACCCATCGAGATGCTAAATTATCAAGGCAACAAAATTTCTGGGGTACAAAATATATGTAATGCTTTTAATAATCAGTTTACTGATGTAGACTATCTTCTACCAAATTATAGTGAAGCAAGGCTTCAAGATTTTTCTATAAGCACTCTATTTTTAACTCCAACTACCCCAAAGGAAATAATAGAAATTATAAAGAAAACAATTTTTAAAAAAATCTGCCGGTATAGATGAAATAGATGAAACAATATTGTCTTTTATTGCTGAAGATATTAGTGTACCTATGTCCTACCTTATAAACGAGTCTTTTTTTATGTGGTGACTATCCTAGCTTATTAAAAAAATCAAAATCCATTCCTATATATAAAAATAAAGGGTCTGTAAAAGACATGGAAAACTATAGGAACATCTGCATGCAAAGTCAACTGGCTAAAGTATTCGAAATGGCCTATAATAACAGGTTCATTAAATTTCTAGAACATATTAGACTTTTAAATAAATTTCAACATGGTTTTCGCAGAAATAAGTCAACATCTAGTGCTATAGGGTAGTTATGCCTTTTGGTACCTAGTTTTATGGGGAAATATAGAAAGTACTTACTGGTTTTTCTTATGCAAAGCGACGTTGCCATATCATTTTCCCCTAGATCTGGGGAAGTCTTAACTATATTTTTAAATATGGAGAAAACAATGAGTTTAAGAAAAAATTACAAATAAATGATTTCAACTTCAAGGAATGCATTATATTCAAGGATAACTATAGTAAGATTTACCTATTGTGTTCAATGAAAACTATATTCCAAACTTCTATGAGGTCATAGAGACCCTTATTTACAAATTTAGCCCTGTCTGTATTTCCAGTGTGATCATAATGAATTTCTGTGCAAGGCCCACATGGACCTACTAAGCCCATCTCCCAAAAATTGTCTTTTACACCAAATGGTAATATCCTGTCTACAGGTACTCTAAAAATAAATCGTTTAGGTAAATGAATTTATTTTATAAAAGAAATTTGGTAGGTACCCAATTTTTTTCCAAATTTCTTTAGTTTCAATATCTTCTTTTAAACCGAGTCTGTCATCACCTTTAAAATATGTAACATACAACCTCTTTTTCGGCAATTTATATACTTTAGTAAGCAAATCCCAAGCAAGTTTACAAGCTTCAGGCTAGAATTACAATATATTAATGTAAATATGATATAAAATGTATTTCAGTTAATGAATTACCTTGAAATAGTCCCCAAAAGACCAGTTACCTAGCATTTCGAAAAATGTATGATGATAACCATCGGTTCCAACTACATTTAGATCATTATGTTTACCACCAATTCTTATACATTTTTGACTATTGGCAACAGTTTTGTGTTTGGGTTGCTGAGTTCCAAGAAGAACTCCCTTAAACTAAATTCAAAACAATTATTTATATAAAATAATAATATTTAACAACATTTACCTGATTCATCCCAGCATTTACAAAAGCGACAGTAGGATCACAATATGGTACAACCGGACTTGATTTTACGAATTTATGATTGTGCTCTTTAATGAAATACTCCAAAAATCTATTTCTAATTGCTTTGGAAGAAAAATCTGGATTGAAACATTTTGAAATATTCCTGGTCGAATAAACTATTGTCGGCAAGATTTGCATCAAATTGTGGCTGCTAATTTTCGATATGTGTACCATTTTCACGAATAAATTTTTATTTTTTTTTGAATTTTTTATGGATGAAATAAACCTAACCTTAAAATTCTTTGAAAATTTTCATTTTGTTTTTTGTTGATACAACTAATATGGCTAAAGGCCTCAGTATTTTTAAAAAAGAGGAAGAAATCGGTAACTAAATAACTTACATAGATAAAGGCCATTGGGTAAGAAGAATTCCTCTTTTTACTTTCCTATCTGTATACAGATATAAGTGCTGCGTTTGAGAATCCACATCGGATGCATCTGAGATGTAAAAAATCTTTGATCACGTGATTCAGTATACGTAAATGTAATGGGACAGATGTGTCCGATGTGGATAAAAAAACGCTCGAGATGTAAAAAATGCATCCGATGTGGATTCTCAAACGCAGCAAAGGAAAGTATAGGAATCATGATTTTTTTCGACCTCGAGTTTTCGACGGATTTTTACGTTTTGAGGTCCCCTGAATCCGTTTTGACTATTTTCGCGATGATGTCTGTGTGTGTGTGTGTGTGTGTGTGTGTGTGTGTGTGTGTGTGTGTGTGTGTGTGTGTGTGTGTGTGTGTGTGTGTGTGTGTGTGTGTGTGTGTGTGTGTGTCTGTGTGTGTGTGTGTCTGTGTGTGTGTCTGTATAACGCATAACTCATGAACCGATACACGGATAAACACCAAATTTCAAACTTAAGCTTTGTTCCAGCGTCTAATGAGCTGATTAGATTTTGGGCAGAGTCGGAACATCTGGGGGGGGTACTTTATAGGTGGTCATTTTTATATTTTATGGAATATATCTGTTATTTACGTTTGGAGAAGAAAATTTTTTAAATAAAAGTTACTTCTTATTTTATTATCTATAATTTTTGTTATTTACAAAATTTTCCTAAAATGGTCCGTATTCGAGAAATTTGACAAAATGTAAAAAAATATTTTTTTTTATAAAAATTGTTCAAACAAAAGTTGTTTGTAATATAATTCTCTATAATTTTTGTCCCATAGATAATTTCTCTAAAATGGACCGTATTCGAGATATTTGAGAAAATGTGTAAATTTCGAAATTTGAAGAAAACTCAAAAACGGATAAAGAAAAAATCAATAAATTTTAAACTTAAGTTTTATTTCGGCCTGACGTGAAATGATTAGATTTTGGACAAAGTCGGAACATCTGGGGGGGTACTTTATGGGAGGCCGTTTATATATTTTATGGAATATATCTGTTATTTATGTTTGGAGAAGAAAATTGTTCAAATAAAAGTTACTTCTAATATTATTATCTATAATTTTTGCCTTATGTAAAAATTTCCTGAAATGGTCTATATTCGAGAAATTTGACAAAATGTGCAAAATTCTGATTTTTATGAAAATTGTTGAAATAAAAGTTGTTTGCGATATCGATCTCTATAATATTTGTTCATACATTATTTTTTTTAAATGGACCTTAATGGAAAAATTGTAGGAAAAGTGCTAAATTTAAATTTTTCAGTATTTTCATTTTCAATGAATATCTATAGAAAAATGTTTCGCGGTAGATGTAAGTGGACAATGTATATATTTAGTTTATCCTCTAAACATTTATAGAGATGCTACAATAGGTTGTACACAATAAACGGAAAAAGCCTGTAATAACTAGATAGGAAAGTCATGTGTTGGACACATCAGATTTTTTAATATAGACACGTTTGTTGGGTTGGTCAGTAAAGTGTAAAAGTAGCTTATTTTTTTCTGGGTCAAGACAATTTTATTTCTTAAAATAGAGGAATGGTTGGCATTTAACAGCTGATTGCTTAATAGTTTTTAGGTTATTTTTAGAAAAAAAATTGGGATTACTATGGTTATTTTTGTCAAATTTGATTTATAAATATTGTTATGGCAGATTGGAGAATCAACGAAAAATATAGGAAACCTAGAAGAACAGTGGGTACTCCATTTCACGCTCAAAGAAACTATTATGCGTTAGGGGGACTTTTATTCGGTGGCGTTTCTTGGTACTTATACGAGTAAGTATTTTTTTTAAGGTATTTATAAACCTATCATGAGTCTGTCGGGATCCCTTTATAAATACGTACCTACATTATTTTCTGTTTGTAGACTGTGGCCACAATCACAAACACTGAAACAAAAATTTTTGAATGATAAATTTAATATACCAGACGGTTTGAAGACCAAATTTCTGCATATACAAACCTCAACACAATCGGCTCCTCTAAACGAACTTTTGGCGAAAGCTAGAGAGAAGGAATTTGAAAAGAATGCTCCAAAAACTGAGGAACCATGGCTCATCAAAAAAATTAGATCAGGGCCAGATATCTAAGAAGGATGGGTTAGTTTAATTTATTTGTATATATTGTAGTCTGTGGCATAAACATTTAAAGTAATTCATTGTTTTTATTTCCCTTTAATAAATAAAATAACTAATAGAAGTCTGAGCATGAAATTAAACAATCTGTAAGAAGAGGACACATGTGAAAACCATAATACAGTACACATTATGCACTTTTTGTGTAGCATACATGGTTTGAACTGTAATATGATTTTCAAGTGTGTTTGTAGACCTTTTATCATTGCTAAGTGATTTAATAGAATATTTTTTGACAGTGCTCAAGTCCATAAAATACCAGGAAGCTCCAGTCATTCCGATTCGCCATTTAAAAAGAACTTGGGTGCATTAAAACGTTTCAGTTTAGAAAACGATGGCGAAGATGATTTTTCAAGTCCAATAAGAATCAAAAAACCTATTGCAAAACCATTAAAAAAACAACCAACAAAAAAAGCAACTTCCAAAAAATCTAGCTCAAGGAAAACTTCAAATCCTGTTATGAAACGTACTAAAGACAATTTTAAAAATTTAGATGTGCATCCTGAACATCTACAAATGGCATTAGCCCTTTCAAAATCTACATTTGAACAAGAATATCCTGAAAGCGAGAGTGGGGATAAGGAAGAAGATTTACCTACGTTTTTATTTCCACAACAGATTCCTAGAGTTACAACTTTTTTGGAAAAATATGGATTCAAATCCAACAAAAATAAATTGTATCCAGAACATTCAAAAGTCAATTTAGAAGTAAGTAGTTTAGTTTCTATTTTACCCACAAATTTAGGATTCCTTTTAAATGATTCAGGGTTCTATTCTTGGGCCTATTTCAAGTATATAAGTTATTAACGATAACTAAGTGTCAATAAAACTAAAGTAATGATTATAACCAAATTGATAAAAATCAAATTAAGATTTACATTGATGGGAAGAGGATTCAGTTGGTTGAAGATATTAAATACTTGGGTTTTGTAGTTGATAAAGGATTTTCAATACATTTATAGCACACTATCAGAAAAATTGTTTTTCTTTAGCAGTTTGTGGTCATCTTGCATTTAAGACTTCACATAATGTTTATAAAACAATTATTCAACCTCATTTTGTTAATTGCTCGAGCTCATTAGGATTATTAGATTCTGCACTACAAAAATAGATAGATGAGAATTATTTTGAAATATTGTACTAATGAACTCAATTTTTCATAATGGTTTATTTAATTTAATTTAACACCTTCACATATAAGATGAAAACTGCAAATAACATCAGAAGGTTTGGAAAAATGGTACTCAACAATATCAAAGTATGTGATGAACACACCTGATCTATTCGTTTTTTATCTTTTTATGTTTCTGTCTGAAATTTTTTATTTTATCTTGTTATTTTATATCATTTTTTTTAATTTCATATATTTTATAATATATTTATAAATAAAGAATATACAGAATCCTAAGTTGATATGTGTATAGAAATCATTAAAATAAACAACTTTTTTGAATAATTTTTTCGAAAAAACTCAAAAATAATAATTTTTTTAAAATTAACACAGGATATCATTGTCCAGAAAAGAGGAGTAAAAATAGTCGATTAACGTTTCATTATTATCAGTGATTAGAGCAGGCCTCTTTGACATGCATCTTTAGATTAAACGATAGTAAAAAAATTATATTATTATCATTTTGAACAAATAAATCCATGTTAAAGTCTCCAGTTAAAATAATTTTAGATGAACTTGGTATTTTAGATAATAAGCATTCCAATTTATTTAAAAATATTGTAATGCTAGTGCTTGGAGATCTATGAACACAAATTATACAAATGTTTAACTTTTTAATACTCGAATTGTTCCTCTTCAATTAAATCTTGGTATTTTATTTCGTCAAACTTCAACCTGTAATCATGTGGCTGTTCCTCCATGTTCAAACATCTCTCTGCAAAAAATACTAACCAAGTTATACCCTGGCATGCACAGATGTTCATGTTTTTCTAGCCAGTGTTCTGTTTGCAAAAGAACTAGTGGAATATTAAAATGTTCCATTAACACAAAAACTCCTCTATCTTGTTACGGACATATCGAACATTTAATAGGAAAAATGTTAAGGACTTTTCCAAATTGGTGAATTGACTGTTTCTAAAGTTATTTAATTCAACAACTCTGTCAGCTCTACCTTCGTTGTTATTACTATCTAACTGAGCATCATCATCATCTCACCAGTTATCAGAGTCAGTTGGCGGACATATTCTTACGATACCGAAAATTTATGTCATATCTGGCTCTTAACAGTCGCTTAAAAAGTAAGCCACAACTTTTAGCGCAGTATTGATCACCAACTATAAGAAGTTGAGTTTTTTCTCATATCTGAATATGTTATAACACTTTTTATGCCAGTACCTTTAGAAAGTTCGTTAGTTTTGTACTGGTCTAGTTAAACTCTTAATATTTTCACTTCACTTATGAATAGAGTGTTTTATGTTTCCAGAATGCATATCGTAGATAACATGTTTCTACTTATCAAGTTAAGATCTTCAATATCTTTTATGAACTTACTACTGATCAACTTCTTATCTTCAATTTGATTTTGCATAGTTTGGACTTTATTCTTCAAATCGAAAATTTCTTTATTTCTGAGCTGAGTCAAGTCCTTAGCTTCTTGATCTTATCCACATACATCTGTTCAGTGTTAAAGACTTCGTCTTCGAAATTATGCGTGTGTCTTTGCATTCTGTCGACAGCATCTTTTTTGAGATTGGCTATTTCTTTATTTAAGTCTTCAATTTTAGTTTCTTCTTTAAATGTTTTATCTTGACATTCACAATATATTTTGTGAGTACTTAGACTCATCACACTTTTTCTCCTTTCTAGATAGCTTGAGTAAAACACAATACAGCAAAAAATTTAAAATGTTTTATTTTTACACTAAGTAAATATTGGTATCATTATTCTTTATTAACCTTCAAATATGTGAACAACAGGGCTAGTTAGAAATAAAAATACACCGTCCAGATATAAATTAACTTTTTCAAATCTGCTGTTGGTCAAATAGCCACTGCCATTTAAGGTTTATTCATAAATAATAGATATAAGACGATATGATTGGAATGACCACTTTTTGTTGCTTTTCTTTTTGTAGAATAATAATAAATTTCTTTTTACTCGCATCGAAAAAGCGCAGTTGTATTTCGGTATTTTGAATTATAAATATTTGTTGTTACTACATTACGTTCTGTACTTTCTAATGATATAAAATTTAACTTTTTTCGTAATTTTAAACGCGAAATTTAGAGGATTATTAGAGAGCTATTCTGCCTCGTTAATTGAAATGTGATTGATTAAAGTCGCCTAAACTATTCACGATTCAAGCTAAGTACTCTGCGGCCCTCGAGTACACCTAGAGTGCACTCAATATAGTGCCTCAGTGGAGTAAGTAATTCCAGGCGATCTCTTACTTATGGGGTGAAATAAAAAATATACACCTCACTAAACGGTAATCACCTTTATCCTAAAGGTGATTCTGAAAGAGCTTATAATCTCCTCGGTTTTCTTACTGTCGATTACACAACTCTCGATACTCCAACTTAAGCACTCTGAAAAAACAGCAGTAAAAGAGAGCGCGGTCAAAAATAACATCAGCAAAGAGAAAGACGCAGTTGGTTTTATATTTTACGCTCGGACTGATTCGGTTTCCGAGTGGGTCGGAGTGGAAGTAACCAATATTTACAAATCGGAGGACTGAAAAAAATGGCCTTCCGACATTTGCGAAAATCACCAGATAATTTACATGAATTTGAACGTTTAAAGCTGGATTCGAATTTTAGTAAATAATTATATATTTTGAACTACGGGGGCTCTCGCAAATGTTCTGAATCGGGAATTTTTAGGAAATAAAAATACGGGGGTTCTTGAGAATGCTAACGGGTGGAAATTAACTTGAACTAAACAATTTTATAACGACCATATTAACACCATCTTAAAGGCCTATATAAAACTAAAAGAATAATAATTAATTTTTTCTTTTATTTTTTGTAGTTTTCCTTATGAACCTCTTTATGTTATTTTTATATTTGTATTTTTTTCTTCTTAATTGTAAATAATTTATTTTTTGTTATTAGGTGGTCCTGTTGAAAACAGGCGCGAATCTGGGAAGATTTTTCGGGGAGGGGGTAGATAATTTTATCAAAGAATCATTCGTTTATTTAAAAAATAACAAAAAACAAGAGATTTTAAACAAAATAAAAAACCTCTTATAAAATATAAAAATATATAAAAATTACTCGTAAAAATCACAAATAGGTTTATCTTGATTACTTAATCGTAAAATCACATTTTCTTTGGTATGCGTTATCAAATCTGTCTATAATCAAGATTAAAATCCCGATGGAAAGAGCTAATCCATTTAATCTTTCTTGTCCCATTCGTGACCGCAGCCAAGTTTTTAAACGACGCAATGCCGAAAAGCTTCTTTCTGCGGTAGCAACATTTACTGGCATAGTACATAAAACTTTCAAAATTAATTTAATAGTCGGATAGATATCATAATTGCAATTAAAATGAAAAGAGTAATAATATCTGTATCAGAATCTTTATTTCTGTCAAAATTGTTGAACTCTGATTGCCATAATTCAATTTCTACTTTTTAACTTCTGTACAGCTATAACACAGTCAGTATCTTCGAGAAAACATCCCATTGACTTAATGAGAGACTCCGCAATAATTTTTAAATCCTGTGATGTCTTGCCAATCAAATTAACAAGAAAAATGGTGTTATAATCAAACACATTTAAAATATCTTTGCTGAATCTATCATTAATGTCTTCGATAATATTATCTAATAATGGAATAAAAATAGATCTTAAAATATTCTTCAGGGTTATTATTTTTTATGTTTGCCCTCAAGGTTTGCCTACTAGCTTGTCGTAGGTGTATATCAAGTTCTTCATATAAGTTTGGTATTCTTTAAAGATTTCTTTGTAGACATTTTCATTGCATCGTTATTTATTTAATAATTTTAAAATGTTTTGAATTAAATTCTCTGCAGTTACTTTATCCAAATTTTTTATTTGAAGCATTCTGCTTAATGGCAATATTATTGTTAATATATCTGAAAGACAAAATATAGAAAATATGAAGCGTGGTAAAGTTAATGTATTTATAAAAGCTTGAGTTCTATCATTCCATTGTGAAATTAGTTTAAGCGCCTGCAATATATCAGAATACTTTCGTGTCTTTCTATCCGACTCAGGTTTCCTTTATGGATATTCTTTAATACTTTACTTCTTTTAGAAGAAGCATTAAACAACTCAATAACTTCTTTCATAAATGAAACTGTGTTGCGTATATCTTATATATTTGAAGATGTCGATAAAGATAAATTTAAAGCATGCTTATAACATGGATAACGCGTAGCATTAGAAAATACTGACTGAAGTTCCTTTACTGCTCTTTTCTTTTCTGAAACCATAACACTGCAACCGTCAGTTCTGATACCAATACAATATTTTTAGATTACAATTTAATAAATTCCTGGATCTCTTCGAGCAGCTCAGGGGGGGGGGGGGGGGGGGGGGTAATTACCCTATTACCCCCCCTTGTATCCGCGCCTGATTGAAAATAAACACATTTATTATTATAATATTCGTGATTCATATTAAAAAAACAGAAACGAAAAAACAGATAAACATAGACAGACTTATTAATTAGTTTAATTTTTCGTACACAAATTCAAGCGTCGATTTAGATTTATTAATTTTTACCTTTCTTATTTTTGAAAAATGTATTTAAAGAAGATGTTTATTTTTGAGTTTTTTTTTAATTATTTAAAAAAGATATTTATATTAACGACTTTTATACACAGTTAAAAAAATATTAACTAAGGATTCACCCTGTATAATGTACTTAATACCTTTTCAACAGCATTTATAAATTACATGTATTTTAGGATTACCTATTTAATACATTTCTTTCTTTCTATTTATGTATGTAATTACGGCTTTGAGAAATTTATTTTAAGCAATTTTATATATTTTAGGAAACCAAAGTATCAAAAAATTCGAAATTTAGATTTTTAACCCCCGCTCTTTACAAGCGCACCAAAGAAGACAGAGAATCTTTAATAAACAAGAAAGTTTCATTAATTATAGACCGACATATTCAAACCGTTCCAATAAACAGGGACATTTTAGAAGAAACCAACAGCGAAGAATTAGAGAAATATTTATCCCACAAAAAATGTTGGAATTTAAATTGTACAATGGATACAAATGAATTAATTGTACAGTCACTCAATTTGTCTCCATCAAAGCAAACTATGGGCTGCTTGCTAAGAAATTGGGATGAAATAGCTGGAAGAGACAAATCGCCTGAAAAGTTTTTAGGGAGTCCAGAAAAAAGTTCATCAAGCTGTGATAAATTTAAAGAAAATGATCAAGCCACAAAAGAATTAGACTGTACTGTCACAACAGAAAATAGCAGTTCAGACTGTGATAATAGCGTTTTGGAAAAAGAAATAAGACAATGTCTATCTCCGGACTTATTTGATGATGATGATGATTTAGAATACACAGAATCATTTAATACAACACCAAAAGCAATTGGAAAAAATTATCAAGTTGAAAAATTACCATCAGCTTCAAAATCTCAGCCAGTTTCTGAAATACCTCATTCACTTTCTACCGCTGAAGACAGTGTTGAGGCATCTTCAAAATCTCTAACAAAAATGTTTAAAAGTTTATCTCAATCTTCAGTTATGGCAGGAACATCAACTACGGAAGAATTTAAAGCTTCTTTTATCGATGCATTCAATCCAGCTGAGGAAATCAATAAAACAGCAAAGCATGTATCCTCAGAATCTGAAACAATATTTAAAAAACGATCTCCTAAACATTCCAAAGTAGTATCTTCAGAAACAACATCTTCTATATCTTCAAAGTCACCTTCAAAATATAGGCCAGTATCTCCTTGTATATCTTTTAAATCCCAGACAAAAATAAGTTCATCTCAATCTTCACCAACTAAAGTTAACACACAATCTCCTACAAGATCTAAAGAAAAATCAACAGAAACATCTATTTACTCAACATCTTCTATATCTTCAAGATTCCATACAGAAATAATTTCTCCTTCTTCTTCCATCATTGATTTAAGTCAAGGTTCTTCTTCTAATGACTCATTTAAGATGATTACAGAAATAACAAATCTCTGCAATAAACCGAAAACTCAGAAATTTGAATCGGAAACCTTTGGTAGTTATTCTGGTACTTCATCGAGAACCAATTCATTCGCAACAATCGAAAAAGATAGTAACGGGATCGAATATTTTGAAAGTTTCTATGATCCCACTGAGGAATGTGTTGGGATGAGAAATTCGTTCGTTGATTTGATAAGTTCTGATGAAGATGATCGACCCAATAAAACCACAGGTAAGCACAAAAAAATTACAGAAAATTTTAATTGTTAATGTCTTTTTTTTATTTAAGATGTTTCTTCAAGAAAATCTTACAAATATAAAGAAAAATTAGTTGAAACTGAAAATGCAGGTATAGAATTTGAAAATGTTGATAAAGTCGATAAAGATTCTAGTACTAGACTGTCTTTAATTACAAAACATTCTACCTTTGATTCTGGAAATATTTCACTTGATTACAATCACACAACGTCTCTCAATGTTACAGATTATGTTATGGATGTATTGAATTCACAAGGTAAAGTATAAATATAGCTTAGTAATCATTTACCCATATACACACACTTATATTTAGGGTTGCCACCTATCCTTTTCCAGTTCTTTTTTCAACAAATTGTTCCTGTGACTTTTAAACCTTAAAATGTCCTTTTTAAAAACTATTTTTCAAATATATTCGTAGCAGCACCTACATTTTGTTGTTTGAAATGATCCTCTTGTTTTAATGTACCTAGCTCTCTTGTTTCCTCTCAGAATCTGTAATATTTGTCAGAGGGCACCTTAAGACTAACATAGTTGCCAAATAACAAGCCTAAGTGGTAATATTTAAAACCTATCTCGTTCCCATTTTTAACACATTTTGCTGTAATCATGATTTACCTTGTACCCAAACTAACCAATAATTTTAAGCCGAGAAATTAACAATTAAATATTTTTTAAATTTTTCAGGTGTTGCGATAATTTTTGTGCATTGTGTAGGTATTATTTATAAGTTTCCACATTATGCAGTCAAATTACAGTCATTCTAACTCCATTCACATTTTTTTTACTTCAGAAGTACTGTATGTGACAGTGAAATTCCCAAAATAAAACCCTTGTCCTTCCACACTAAACCTTAAACTGCTTACACTTAATAGAAGTCTACATCACGCTCTCTCAATTGATACAACTCGAATATTTGTGACGAAGCGTTAGCACTGCGTTTCCACAACAATTGGCGCCCAACGTGGGGCATGATACGAATTGAAAATTACAAATCTGTAACTTCTGATGGTTAACAGAAACCACTTTAATTTTTGGAAACATCTATTTAAATGCTGTTAGACCCACATCCATCTTCACTTCTTCTTTTAGATGATACCGATAATCGCGTTGAATCTGTCAATCAAAGTCTAAGCAGCTGTTCGCAGGAAAGTATCGAGATACTGTCTGATGAGGAGTTGAACTATTCCAGTAGGTTCAGCGCTCAATGTAAAAATGCAAATTTATACGATTTGGACAATTTTGATGATTGCATTGGAGCCGATTTTGCCGATGAAGATATAGAAACTATTCATTCGAGTAAGTATTGTGGCTAAATATTGTTGCAAATTAGAAAAAAAATCATTTATTTCCAGAGCTAAAAAACAAATACAGCCAAAAGACCGAAATCAGTGCGGAAAGAGTAGAAATTAACAACGAAACTTTAAAAATACCAACAAACGATACTATTAAGAAAAACCCATCTGCTGCTAACAATAAAAATGACAAATCAAATCTAATCATTGAAGAAATCCCACTTATATCGTCCCCCAAGCAAACTAAACCCAAAGAAGACGTTCCTCATACTTCTTCCAATTTAGACAGAGCCAGTATTGAAGAAATTTCACTTATATCAACCCCAAAGCAAACTAAACCCAATGAAGACGTTCCTCATACTTCTTCCAATTTAGACACACCCAATAACAATATTATCATCAAAACCAGCAACATCACACCGATGCTAGACTACGATGCAATGGACACTCCAAACGTTAGAAAAGAATTGGACAAGTTTGGAATTAAACCCGTCAAAAGAAGAAGGGGAGTTGAACTGTTGAAATACATCTATGAAAGCACCCATCCCTTAGTTGACATTGAAGATCTAAGGAATTTGCATAAAGAAAAAAACGAAGCCAGACCTGTTAAGAAAAGAAAGTTGGGAGATGTGTTTGACAGTCAAAAAGTGGATGGTATAAAAATTGTTGGAAACGAACTTATTAAAAAGTAAGTAAATTTATTTTCATTAAAACATTTTATAATTTATAACACTAATTTATATCTCTTTTACTTATACACTAATTTACTCTTACAATATTGTTAACAACATGATATATGTACGATAGTGCAGTGGACTGTATATAAAAATTCGGGTTTCTTTACTAAAAATGATTTCGTGACAGTAGAAAATTATTTTATTTTTATATAGTTACAAAAGTTAATTCCCCAAAAATATTTATAGGATTGTTAAATACACTTAAAACTAAAATATGACGTAATATCGGTGACGTAACTGAACTATAATAGCAAACTAAGACTATTTATATAAAAATGTGGCGTTCCAGACTTGTTCTCGAAGATTCTAGACTTATTTGCACTAAGATATATTGTACCTTCATCGTTTTCTAGACTGGTGCATATACCAGTATATATTCGTTATAATTCATCGAAGGGTTCAGTACATTCCAGAATTATGATTCATTACAACTGGTGGTATCCATGGGCGGGTCTTGGGGGTTTCGGAAGTTGACCTATTTCATCAAATATTCTTGATAACAGGAGAAATGGAAGTCGTAAAATACCCAAATAAGGCAGAGATGGACTTAATGGATTAAAGCGGACTCGTTAAAAATGACTCGCGCGACATTACAAAGTATTTAATAATTATTCTTTATTTTTAGTGAAAATGAGGATGATTTTTTGTTCGAAAGAAAAGTCTCTAAAAAGATTCTATCGTGTCATATTCCATTGCAAATAGCTTGGTATAATTTTCTGTGTTGTAACCCTGATTTGAAGGAAAATATCTTGTTATATGAACCTATACAATTGGAAGTAGTTCATTCGATGCTCAAGGAACAATCCGGATGTAATTTTCACATTGAGGTAAACATTTTGAATGTTTTTGTATATTTTTAAACTTTTATTTTTTTCTTCATGGTTTCTATGACTTCCTTTAAATTAATTGTTCCTATGGCCGTAATTGGCCAAATTATATTGACATATTTGTTAAATTGATAAATATTACAGAAGGTCAACATTCAATACTTTATAAATAAAGCTTCTCTTAGTGTTAGGCATTCCAAAGCAAATGGCCACTGAAGGGAAGGGTTAGTATACCTAAGGGGTTGCGACATACGATGTATTCTATCTACAATACGTGAAATCATGAATAATGGATTAAATTTAATTATTTGATCTTAAAAAATTACCCATTTTATGTTGAACAACATGAAAATGTCATTTAAATTGGCAGGCTTGAGGACTACTATTTTGAATAAAAGTAGCGTCCAAGATGGAAGGCTATGTCGCTACCCCCTTAGATATACGAGTCCTTTCTACCGGCAGCTATTGTTTAAGACAGGTTGTTGGAATGCCTAATATCCTGAATGTCATTTCATAAATCTGCCAACTGTCAAAAAAGCAAAACTGTCAAGATAATAATAATAAAGTTGACTATATCAATTATTTATTTTTTTATGTATATGTATTTATTTATTTCTTTTTTTTTACATTTTTAGGAGCTCATTACTTTTTTGGACAGAAAATGCATTACTTTTAGGACAAAAAACCGAAAATATCGAAAAAGGCAAAAAGTTGATAGTAGGAAGTAAATTTTAAAGGAATTTTAATTGTATCTTTATTAAATATAATATATTTTATACAGATGAGTGTTTTTTTTTTTAATTTAGTGTAAGGGGTTTTCTCGCTACAGAGAAAACGTTCCCTTACGAATGGCGCTTATTACGGCTGGTTCTCGGGCGCAAGATTATTTATTGTGGTTTATTCCACAAACTCTCGAAAGTACTCGGGTAGCTACAGATGGAGATGAAAATTTCCAGGGGTCAAATGTTACGTAGATACAGGTAATCAGTAGCCACACGTAAAAGGCTTTAATCGTCGCTTGCGTTTCTAAAAAAATGTTCACTAGCTGAAAATTAAGGGGGAAGTAAAGCAAGGAATTAGTAGCCTCAGCAATATGGTCTGATAACGTTGGCACATATATTGTTTCTAACTATACACAGCATGAATAAAATAAAACAAAATAAATATATATTTCAACGCCCACTCTCGCTTGCGATAATAATTATTATAAACCCTAAAGAAAATAAACAAGCAAAACGGCCGGTAATGAATTCCGAATAGTCTTAAATAGACCTGAAAATTAAATTAAAATAAATTGTAGATGTGATCGACGTAAAGTCGAGGTGGAGTCCACAAAAACTATCTTTTTTTTAACGTTATTGTTATATTTCTTTGTGTTAATACATATCTAGTTTATTTTTGAAGTGCCGTATTCTCTAATTATCACCCTTAATGGCCTTATCCTGAAGCATCTTGACGAGAACATAAGTTTGGCTAAAGCCCCGAGAAGAAAAAAGCCAACACAATTAGGTATATGTTTTTTGTTTAAATTAAATACCATAAAGACTAACTTTTAACACCTTATATAGGTATCTTGGAAGTAAATGTTTGACCCACTGTTATTTAGCATAATAATAATATTTAGAGGTCCTAAACGTATGGTTAAAACGTTTACTATTCCTTATGAAACACCCTGTATACTATTTCTTAATTCACTTTTTTCTACACCCGTATTATAATAATACACTTATATGCCCATTATCAGTTTCATAATGGTACCCATTATGATACAGTTTTTTCATAACGATACAGATTTTTAATCAATAGAAACCCATAATTTTTCAATCAAGCATGCTGTGCATTTGACGTTCTTATGTAATTGTTTTAGTTGTCAAAATCAGTACGTATTAAATTTTTGTAGATAGCTAAACTTCGATAATTATAATATCAAAATGTCTGATAGCGATATAGAAGACTTACCATCGACTCCTCCACACATATCGGAGAAAGCAGAAAATTCCCCAAAAATCTATGGTAATACCAATAGTACCAATTCACGAAGTAATACCATTAATTATAATGTAGAATTTTTTTATAGAAATACGAGTAATTACTGTTATTGTGTTCAATATAAATATAATATTTATAGTTCTTGATTATTAATCGGGTGTAGAAAAAATAGCGTATGCAACTCTCATGTAAGTAACGGTTATTAATACACTCGCATAAACCATATACGAAACTCGCCTTCGGCTCGTTTTGTATCCCGGTTAATGCTCGTGTATTAATAATCATTATACATGATCGTTGCATAATATATTATTATTTGACCATGATTTGTAGGTACAATTTAAATCAACAAAGTTGAAAAATAAGGATTATAGGGAAAGTAAAAGTTGGAAAGGCTTTTGGTAGGTAGAGAGGGGGTAAACTGTCAAACCTCGTTGGACGGCTTCAAGAATTTCGCAGTAATGTTTACCTGCCAGTGTCGTTTCATAGAATAAGTAATTTTAAATTGTTATCGACGGAACCGGACAATCGCATGTATTTATGGTCTATAAATAATTATTAAACATGTATTATCATATTCAAATCATAATTTTACAAAATTTCAACAGCTATTCACAATTTATTAAACTATTTACTCGAAATTGTTATTAACATCTATAAAATAATTTTGTACACCAATGTATCGCGTCCACTTCGGTGAGATCCGCAGCAAACCTGTCAATTTATGTGTATAAAGTGGGAGAACTGGAAAAAGCCTTTCCAACGTTCTGTGTTTCCAAGTTTTACTTCTGTTCTACTCAATGAAGTGGGATTACTCCACTATAAAAACTTAGAAGGCTATGATGTCTCCATCTCCTTGGTGATCTGTGAACTGTAAACGTCTTATTTAAAATCGACTTTTTCATCGGTTATCAGTAACTGTTTCAACTCTATAATCAATTCGATAAAGTTTCATATAAGATAGTAAAACCCCAGTATATATACCAATCAGTATTGGCACTCTGAGGCGGCACTTTTGATCTTTAAAAGTAGAAATTTTAGTTGACACTTGACGTTTTCGGGATATGAAAAGTTTTCTTTACACGGACTTGGTATACCTGGTTAGTTGAATTTTTGTTCTGCTGCTTTTCAAATTTGTGTGTATGAGCGAGATGTGAGATACCTTTATAGACAACGGTTGAACAACTTAATTACTTTGAAGAAGAAAATAGATTAGATATCAGGGCAGTCTTCGCAAATGTGAGAAGGCAGAACCGTTTTAAAATTTTTTTATATATGTGAAATATTACTTTTTAGTAAAAAGTTTAATTACTTTTAGTTCAAAATATAACGTTAGCTTGTCAAGGAAAATATATAACACACAAGGTTAGAGTAACAAAATAGAGATTTTTCTTTATTTCTTAAGAATTAATCTAATCTAAAACTTTTCTATGTTGTAGAAATTTATTCTATAGGTTATTTAGGTACTTACTGCAAAATCTATAGGAAAGTATGTAGTTTTAAATATAAAAATTTATAATGGAGACATATTTAGTGCAGTTTTTTTTACAAATATATGCTCAGTGACTTGTTTTAGTGAATGAGTTCAAGTATGGCAGACTAAAATCGTTACTTTTTATTATGAATTTATTTAAAAATGGGAACTATATGTACATGGTTTTCGTAGTTTTTACACTTGTAATAAAAATATCAAAGTTATGTTTATTGGCCATTTACTACACACAGCAAATTCATAGACACTATACATATCACTATTTGACATTCTTATTAAACTCATTAATTTAAAATTTACTTTAAACTGAGTGACTACACACAGAATTGTTTGAAAGCAGCCATAAGGTATAATTTATTTATTGGATACTACTTATAAAGAATTAATAGTAGTTACATGTAGAGTTAAGTAACAAGAACTTTAAAAACAAAACAAACCTTTATATCTAGTGAACTTAATTTAGTACAGTCCTCAACTTTCTTAGGCTAACATTAAAGATATCTATTTGGACCTCGCTAAAAAACTCATTGGTAACAGCCATTATCTTGTTAAAAGGAAATATATACTACTTGGATCTAAACTAAATAATTTTTTGTTACTTGGGATTCTTAGATTAATCTTTGCCACATTAAAATTTATATAGTCAATCAAATCACAATCTTTGTACTTAACATTATTTAAAATAGAGTACAAAATATATCACAGCCTGTTGCTTTCTTCTTTGTAAAAGAGATTTAATCTTAAAACTACCGAGCATAGTTTTATATGAGATCTTATAAAGGTACAAGTATTTTTTATTGCATAAAAAGGTAGGGTAAAAATATTTTTTGTTTTTTATGGCATAAAAAGGTAGGGTAAAAATATTTTTTGTACTTTTTCAATATGATCAATATGTGTGGCTTTCAAGGGCATCCATATTTGTGATGGGGTCTTAGTAAGGCATTATATAATCTGATTTTGGTGGTAATTCTAATTTTTTTTTGTATTTCTGATTTAAAAACCCAAAGCTTTTATTGTTTTTTTTAGTTATGTGTAAGAAATGGTTATTAAACTTCAAATTAGACTGAAAGACAACTCCTAAATCCTTTACCTCATATTCAGGATTTAATGTGACATCATAGGTCTTGTGTCTAATGTAAAAAATTAAAGAGGCTACAGATCCTTACAACTTAAAATATGCATGTTTGTAAGTGTTAAATGGACGGATAAAAAGTGTTGTTTTTATTTACAACTATAATAAGAAACATATTATTTTTGATACCTGATAATCAATAAACAATATATTTTTTGAAGTAGTAACAAATTTATTAATACCCAACTATTATTTTGTTACAAATATTTATATTATAATATTTATAATTAACATAATAGTTGATATAAGTCCTTTAAAAATAATATATTTTGATTTAATTGTTGAATTTATACATGAGCAATTTTCCTTGTAGCGTTGTTTACATTTTGCAGAGAACTATTGTATTCTGCTTTTAGCTGATAAATCATGTACATGTAAACGGGTTGAATGTAGACAATGTTAATGTTTTTGCTACTACTGCTGGCTAGGAATGCTGGGCTGGGACACCAACACAAAAAAAAACGAAGCACAAAGCACTAGATCAGTTTCTATCACTTATACACTTACAATTTACAACCATTCAAGGAACTAGTATGTTGGAAATACTTTACGAAAACATATTAAACATAAATCGGTTAAATGCAATGTATTTTCTTCTTATAAGACATCTTTTTAGCTTGATTACTTCTAGTACTCTATTTATTCCAATGTCCTCAAATAAAACGAGCAATAATACGTAACAATAAGGATAAAACAAACACTAAAATGTATTTGGGGTATTTTTGATCTAAATTCACTATCAAAACAACAAATTTTCCGTTTTTAAGCTGTGAATGTATTACAAAAACTACTTCGATAAAATGTAAACAAAAGTTTGTATTTGTGTACGAAATATGGATTGCCTGCGCATGGTAGCGAGTTTTTAACCGGATTTATGACAAGTGATAGGTTATATCCCGAAAACGTCAGCGCAGTAAAAGCTGGAGTGCGTTTAGAAACCACGCACGGCGCGTCTGGACCCTATTCTAATGTATGTGGTGAGACGCGCCACAGACCATACCCTTTAAAGATGGGCCACTCAACGGTGAAAAATTTTACTCATCTTTCAGCGCCATCCGTAGCGGTTGCAAATAGTTGAGTTAAAAAAAAAGAAGATAACTATTAATTGAAAATTTGTTCAAGATTTA